TCATTTTATTTTATTTTGACCTCTATTATTTTATATTATCATGTCGACCCAAGTTACTGCTCCTGGAGCAGAAGAGTGGTATCGGGTTTACAAACCTGAGCTTGACACAGCTGCTTTCGATCCTCTTGACCCAGAAAAAAGATACCACGAAGGTGTACTCGTTGAAACCAACCCTGGCTATGGGAAAGGAACTCTGTTCCACGTTACAGGGGATATTATTGCTGCCAGTGGCATGCGCTACGAGGAGCGAGAGTTCGATCGAGAGATGGAATCGGAGTATTTACACAGCTTCCCACAAACTGGACGGGTTTTACGGACCGATTTTCACTCTGGAAAAATCAGCGCCATTTTAAAAGAACTGCCACGACCAACCAAGCAGCAAGGTATTAATTTTTGGGAAGTTGATCCTACTACTGGGCGCCATGAGATCATCTGGACTAGACAGGACGGGGAACGCTACGGGCCTGACGAGCAACGGCGCCCTATTTTCAAGTGTAATGAGTGGACTCGTCAATACGCAATTCCGGCCTTGCGAGGGGCTGGAGTCTTGCTCGATTCTCTTTAGCTTGAGGGAAGAGCTTGGGTAATTATGTTTTTTATTGACATGACTTAATGTATGCTCTTTGTATTTAGAATACTTGCCATATCCCGACTAAAACCATTTCATTTCCTGGACATACGGCAACAAGACTTAGGGATACATGTACAACTGTGAGATGCCCATTTATATAACGCAGGAGTACGTATACTCGAGATGTGTGGTTCTTGATTCTCATATCACTCATTAATTTCACTCCTTTTTCATTGTGTACTTTCCCCCAAGGTAACTATCCAGCGGAAACACCTCACGCTAGCTCCACTGCGAAGAGCTTCTAAACACAATATGAGCAAGATAGTGATTGGAGGCAGGCAGCAGGGTGCCACCTGGTTTTGAAGGTTCTAACCACAGTCGGATACGAGCAGCCTGCTCAGGGACTTCCGGGATTGCCTAGTCGGGAGTCGTTAGCACCGCGTATAGAGCCCCTGTTGGAAGCCCTCGGGCCCCGTCGGAGAGCTAAACGAATACTTATTCTCACACAATATGGAACATGCAGGGGAAAATATTCAGGTACGCTATGCGTTGAAACTCCTTTCAATTCCCAATCGTTACTCCTTATATTGATTGCCTTAAAGTGTGATTTGGGAAAATGTAGGCTTGAACAATTTATCAAACTTGATGCCAATTATAAAAGAAGTAAAGGCCAGGTGTCCCAAATGCAACCGCACGAAGTCTAAATCATGGATCGAACCGATGCCAATTCCACCTTGGCTGTTTCCTTGATGGAGGGAATAAATACGAAATAAGGGGATGGCAATGACAAAAGTGACCGTCATTCCTCCCGGTTTCTCTTTCAGTATTACTGTCTTGGCCGTTCAGCTGTATTCCTTCATACTCTTGACTGTTGTTTATTGCCACCAGGTATGCCAAAGGCATGGCGTTGAGCTGGTAAGAGTGGATGAACCAGAAAACTTGGTTAACTAGCTAGCTGACTAGTGTGGCGCTACGGGCCGAGGAGGGTCACTCACCACGCGCGGGTCAAAGAAGCAATGTTATGCCTGGCCCGGCAAAGGCAGGCAGAAAGATCTGATCGACTGAAAATACCTTGTCGTAGCATTTTTCAACATCTACTCCGTACAGCAGGCTTCAAAAGATGCAGCTATCGAAAGGACAAATTTCGGCTAGTCGCCACTTAAACTGATATAGTTAAGTGTCCGAGATGACATTCGGGAGACATATGCTAGGATTATGCATGCACGCACGAGAGGTCAGCGGCTATCCAACGGGACATTTACCTCCTAAAGTTATATTAGGCTGAGAACTACCCACTCGCGGGATTTGATAGTTTGATCGATCCGTCTTTAATTCTTATTACAGGGTATCCAGGGATAGTTTTGCTAGTTATAGTAACTGTTAAGGAATCTCTCGTTCCCTAGCGACAGGGGTAAATTCTCTTCTCGTACCAGTCAAGAAAGAGTGACAGGGAATAGCTTATTTCATTATCCCCCGATGACATTAAACCACTAAACTGAGATGCAAGCTGCTTTGATAAATTAACACACAGTTAAGGCACTGTCAGTCAATGAAGATCTACGTCCTCTTTATGCAGACGGGAACATGCCGAACCTTTGATCTGGTCCGGCCACCATTTGTTCCTGCATTGGACGGCACAGCAAGGCGGAATGGGACCTGTCTTCCATGCCCAGACACATCGGAACCACTCGTGGACATGTCACCAAGTGGAATTGATCGTGTGCTCACAAGCTTAAGCACGATGACGTCACGTAATTTCGGGTGAGGCGTCTTGGTGTAACAAGTGATTGGCTCTGATTGGCGGCGTTTCATTGGACTAATTGAGGCTGCATGGGAAGTAAGCGCCGAGGACCCACAAAAGCTTGTTTTTGTGGATCCACTTACCCGCCGGTGCCGCCACGACCCAGAGATTTTCACATGTTAGAACTTCGGCCTGTATACCTAGTGGTCCTGGCATGTACCACCAGGATCGGCATGCTTGGTGAAGCGATGGGGGGGGGGCCATTCATGCAGCTACTATAGTTAAGATTACACGACCCAGCGACTACTGATGTAGAGTAATTACGCAAGCTCAATAAATAAGAATAAATTAATATTTCTCTCCAAGCATGTGAACTATTGATAGAGATCCCCATGAATAAACCCATCCCGTACCATGTAAGTCAGCGCTCCCCTTGGGAAAGATATTGATAGCTAGGTTACTTGAGGGAAAACATTAAAAATTTAGAGGGAAGAGCGAGAGAAGAAGAGGAACTGTAGTGTTGGATGAATTTGTTTAATTGTTAATCCGTCGCGAGAGATGGGTGCTGAGGGGGAGGGGGGTACTTAATTGTTCGGGTTGGGATATTGCATTCATAGACTATGTAGATAGGGATATATCGGGTGTATTTCTCTCCTTTTTTTCTCTTTTTTTTTTTATTGTTAGTCATGCTTTATAGTTGCTGGCCTCTTTCGATGTAGCTTTTGATACACGGTGGCCAGCACCCGTATCCTATCTTATGCAACGCCGACATAAGGGTCCTAATGTGTCAATGAGCATAGAATATGGAGCAGGGAGAGATGGGTTGTTATGTTGTGTGCGGTATTCGATAAAAATGCGGTTCCAAGCTTGGGAAAGCCAGAGAAAAGCCGACTAGCTCTGGCCTTCGAGTAACGGGCTTTTAGGCACTGCGTCCAGTGCTACGGCGTGTAAAGCAGGTCGTTCCCTGCCATTAGCTTCACCCGCCCGGCGTTTAAGAGCTTCTATAACCCAGGCAGCGACCTCCTTATCGTAGGTGTCAGTGTTGTAGTCGGGTCCATCTGGACTTCTGGCATCGGTTGGCTCTTCTGATCCTATGATTTCAGCTGCTTCCGTTGCTTCTGGAGTAGCAGTGGGGGGTTGCATGAGCTTTTCTACCCAGGCGTGTCGAATAAGATTGGCGTATGTTGGTCTGGCAGCGGGATTTTTCTGCAGACAGCTTGCGACGAAGTCTTTTGCCTCGGGGGAGAAGCCTGGATCGGGCAGAGTTGGCGGGTCCCCTTGCACGATTGCCTAATGCGTAGATGTTAGTCAAGACTAATTGAAAGCAGTAAGCTTGGAGGAAAGGGGTAAGACATACATTGAGTTGGCTGAAGATGTTGTTGTATGTCTCAGGGGGGTAGGGGTACCTGCCCATCGCACATTCGACGATGGTCAAGCCAAGACTCCAGATGTCGGATTGAACGCTGTACGTGCCTCCACCGGAGCTACCGGGATGCCCACCACCTGCAATACGCTCGGGGGCCATGTAACTCTGACAGCCAATATTTGTTTTCGCAATGCTAGCAACAAGGTTACCGCTCACTCCGAAATCGCAGATCTTGATCTGTCCACGCGTGTTGACAAGGATGTTTGTCGGTTTCACATCTCGATGGATGATGTTATGTTCGTCCTTGAGACACTTGAGGCCCATGACAGTCGACAGAGTGATTTTGCGCAAAATGTTTTCAGGCACACCCCCTGAGTAGACTTTTTCCATAGATCCACCGTCCATGAACTCAACACAGATGTAGACAGCTCCTTCCTGGAAGAAGGCGCCGTAGAAATCGATGATGAAGGGTGAGATACAGCGATGTAGGATATCGAGTTCCATAATGATAGCGGTGAATTTGGCCTCGTCGAGCTCGAGACGGATCTCTTTCATGGCCATGATGACGTTTGTAAGGTCGCCCTTGTTCTTTTTCGTATTTGAAGTTGTATCGAGGGAGTTCGAGTCATTATTGTTCTGATTATTGTTGTTGATGTTGTTGTTGGTATTGCTGTCTGGCAGATTTCCTACCATGCTCCCCTTCAAGCCGAGACCAGGTCGTCGTATCTTTGGCCGACAGTGTCGTACTCTGTAGACGGTACCGTAGTTCCCTTTCCCTAGCTCATTGAGAGACTCAACATCATCCAGGGAGATACTAAAGCTCTGGCCGGAGGAGAAATCAATGCCTCCGCCATGGATGATGGCCTTGTTCTTAAAATTGATAGTGCCGGCCTTTGTATCGATGAGCTCCGAGTACTTGCTAAAAGCTGAGACGGGGGTATTCGAGGACTGCGGAGTGCCGCTAGCCTTTGACAGACTGGCTGGACTTCCGTTGGCACCAGAGCTGGCGTTGGGTATACCCGGAGCGGCGCCGGGGGGCTGTCCGGTAACATTTGACAATTTCATACCACCGGCCATGCCTCTCTTAGCAGCAAGTCCTCCTCCGCCCATTTTGGGAGTAGGAGTACGTCCCATGGGAGCAGCCGCGGCACCTCCCTGAACAGAAGGGGGGGACCAGGGGCTGGTAGCCTGAGGGGCAGCTATAGGGATGCCGGGTAGTCTCTCGTTGCCGTTGCTCCCGTTGCCGGGAGCTCCCTGGCGAGAGAGGGAGAAGGCCTTCATTTTCTCCTGTATATCCTGGGACAGGCCGCTGGACTGGCTTCCGCGGGCCGGCAGGGGGCCAGGGCGGCGGGCAGCGTTGACATGGCCCAGCGGCGTGGATGAGGGAGTCATCATGCCGGAAGTAGTGCGAATCGAGGCCGTGGTAGCCGGCATGACTGGCAGTCGGGGACGGCCCTCCGCGGGAGCCGTCATGATAGGGGCAGCAGCACTGGGTGCAGAGGTCGAAGTTGTTGATACTGAGGCAGAGGCAGAGGCAGAGGCGGTGGTGGTAGTGGTGGTGGAGGTAGACGACGGCGTATCTGCAGCACCGTCGACTCCCTGCATCTCGACGCCTTCGCGCACCTGGTTGCTCTCTTCCATCTCTTGCTCCTTGTTCTCTTCGTTTCCTTTTTTTTTTTTTCTCTTGTCTTCTCTTTGTCTTTTCCTTTCCGGGGTTCTTCTCCTATCTCTCAAGCACGAAATGAGCCGTAGGAGGGGAGGAGGCCACAGCAGCACACGTTTAACGGTCCATGAGACGCAGGAAAATAGCAAGTAAGGGCGCACAGAACAGTGTCAGCGTATAGTCGACGGTCGAGGGGCACGCATCGGCCAGGTTAAAGCAAAATCACAGCTCTTGTTGCTCGCCTTCGTAGGTGCTGTCTCTCTCTCTTTTTTTTTATCCGGTGTGGCTTCGAGATGCGGGATGAGTGGGATGGGAGGTCAGGATGACTGCCGAGCAGTAGCTGGTCAACAACGATCAGCAGCAGCAGCAGCAGCAGCAGAAGTAGCAGCACAAGTAGCAGCAGCAGCTATCACCACCGGCAAGGCGAGCAGCAGGGTAAAAGGGGGGGAACTCAGGTATCTGCAGTGGTCATGGGTAAATAATAAAAAATGTCAACGTCGGACCTTTTACTCTAACTGTGGAAAGCAAAAAAAAAAAAAAAAAAAGGCAACCCGCCGGATCATCTTTTCCTCGCTACCGTCTAGTTAAAGAGGGCCAAAGAAAAAAAAAAAAGTAACAGCTTCAGGTATCTTATCTGGCCTCGTTACATACGCAGCTTTCGGTTCTGCGTCGCCACCAAGAGGGAACCGAGGAAAAGTAAGTCATGGACGCCCTGAAACGTCGGGATTTGATTTGCTAAGAGCTCAGTGCTACCTATCTACTAATTGCCGTCATTGCCTAACTATGGGGAATGTGATGGAGTATCCGGGACGATGGCAGGGAACGGGGATATGTCTACATCTATACGGAGCATTCCTTAGTGTTCGCTATATGCCAACTCTGGGGAAAAGACGCCTCTCAACGGTGGAGATCTGGTAGGGCCCGTGGTCGTTGCTTTGAGCAGAGCTGATGGCATGAGCCACGCGGCATGAGCCACATCGTCTTCGTATCGCGCGGATCTGATAGGCGAAGGGGAAAAAGTTGCTGCCTGAGGGGGGTGTTCTGTTGGTTACAGAAGTGCAGGCCGTCCCCCTTTTGAGTCGGGGGACAGAGACGGGCTGGTGCCCGGCCGTAGGGATGCCGTCTCTCTGGAGGGTCAATCCCTTCTCCTTCTTCCTCGTCCCTAGTCTTGGTCGGTGGCGAGTGGCGTCCGTCGTGTAGTTAAGGATAACTAATAATGTTGACTTTCTTTTGGGTAGTGTAGCCGCATAACTAAGCTGCAGCATGCAGGCAGAGAATGGGGGATGGAGCTGGATGGAGATTGCAGAGGAGACAGCGACAGTCCAGCTAGTTAGTTAACTTAACGAGTTACCGTCCTGGCCTTCCCTCTCAACGGCTTTTTCCTTCTGCTTCATCCTTCTGCTTCGTCCCCTCAGCTTTGTTTGCACTGTTTCATTTTTTCATTCAACAGAATGGGCCAAGGTCTGGGCGAGAATCCCGAGCCACAGGCATGATGTTTCCGCCCACTGTGATTGGCGGGCAGGTGCCATAGCTGCCATGCACCCTGATTGCCGCGCAGACTAAATGCACCAGCGAAGGGCGGCTTGTCGATTCTGATCTCGACCGCTTTCGAGGAGAACTAGCAGTGATAGTCGGGGCGCTGTCTGGTCTTTTTATAACTCTGTTCTTTCACTTCTTCGATTCTCAATAATAATCTCCTGGTAGAGATCTCTCCGCCAGTCTTCGTCTCCTCTCTCCGGTTAGGCAGCATCTACATCAACAGGCAGCCGGAGTCAAGGAGAGAAGAAAGGGAAAACAAAAGAGAAGAAAAAGAAGAAGAGGAAGAACAGGGGGAACAAAATGCTATCTCCGCAGTCCTTCGAACGAGCAAACGCCGGATGGGTGCTGGTAGACAGCTCGTCCGGTGGCGGCCCTCACCCGTCCATCCCCCATCTCGCCCTACTCGTCTTCGAAGCGGTCCTCGAGGTTGTCTGTGTCTCACTACCAGGGTACATCATCGCACGCATGGGCATGTTCGATGCCGAAGCCCAGAAGTTTGTCGCCAACTTGAACGTCATGCTGTTTACGCCTTGCCTGATCTTCACCAAACTCGCTTCCCAGCTGACGGCAGGCAAGCTGGCGGATCTGGCTGTTATCCCGGTGCTTTTCATCATCCAGACGCTGGTCTCCTATACGTCGGCGGTGATAGTGTCGAGATGTTTTGGTTTCAGGAAGAGACAGTCCAACTTCGTCAAGGCCATGGGAGTAAGTCATGAAGTCGCTGGAGCCAGGGAGACGTTGCGGCAGCCGAAAGAAAAATAATAATAACAATAATAATTGGATGCTAATAACACAGCGTAGGTCTTTGGCAACTCGAATTCCCTGCCGATATCACTGGTGATATCACTTTCAAAGACGCTCTCTGGCCTGCACTGGGACAAGATCCCCAACGACAACGACAACGAAGTCGCCGCCAGAGGAATCCTCTACCTGCTCATTTTCCAGCAGCTCGGCCAGGCGGTCCGCTGGAGCTGGGGATACCACGTCCTTCTAGCTCCTCGGGAAGCCTACCTGCGCGACGAAGAAGAAGCCCCTATCAATGCTGCGGACAGATACCGCGATGACCCAGAAGAAGATGACGACGGCGACAATGATAACAACGAAGGTAGATATCTCGACGAACCAGAGGATCTAGTTCGCACTGCAGTTAACAGTGGACACACCACTCCTCGATCAACTCACTCGGAGGACTCCTCGCACTTTGAATCCGGCTCGCAGACGCCGGTTATCGAACGACACCGTCCGTATGCCAAAACTAACAGTGCTGACGGTAGCGATGACAACGACGAGGCGGACCTACCTGCTCTAGTCCTGCCAACAGGACAATTCCTCGTCCGGCCAGACCAGGCCGACAGCAGTAGTAGACAGCAGTCATTCCTCTGCCGCATCCTCCGCCCCATTACCACCAGCATACAGTCCACTTCTCAACGTTTCTTCACCTCCTTACCTATTCCGCTCCAGAAGAGTCTCGGTTGGGTCTCTTCCCGCCTTACCTCGTTCTTCTCTGGTCTCTGGTCCTTCATGAACCCTCCCCTCTGGGCAATGCTTATTGCCGTCCTCGTAGCCTCTATCCCGTCCGTCCAGCGCGTCTTCTTCACCCCAGGCAACTTCCTGAGCAACTCCGTCACCCGCGCTGTAAAGCAGTCCGGCGGCGTTGCAGTTCCTCTGATCCTAGTCGTTCTCGGTGCCAACCTGGAACGGAACACGTTGCCCAAGGATGCCCTATCCGACGACGATGACCCAGCTGAAGAGCGTAAACTCATCGTTGCTTCGCTGGTAGCTCGTATGGTCCTTCCAACAGTCATCATGGGTCCGATTCTTGCCCTTGTCGCCAAGTTTGTGCCCGTCAGTATCCTGGAAGATCCCATCTTCATCGTTGTGTGTTTCCTGCTGGTGGGTGCACCTTCGGCCCTGCAAATGGCTCAAATCTGCCAGATCAACAACGTCTATATGGGCGCGATGTCGAGGATCCTCTTCCATTCCTATGTCATATGGTAAGTCAAAAAAATATATGCCACTATAACGCAGCAACTCCTGGCTCCAGGGGCCCAGTAGTAGCAAAGCTAACGTAGATCTCATAGGATCCTCCCGTCAACGCTTATACTAGTAATATCCGCTCTGCAGGTCGTCCAGTGGGCCGCCAGCTAGTTTCTTCTGCTCTTTCATCTTTCATTGGTATTATTTGATCTTTTCCATGTTCATTCGGGTGGTGGCCCCTTGCAGATGCTCCATCCTCTGGGGTCTCTCGGTTAGCCTTATGTTATGGTATTCTTGTCTGGTCTGGCGCGGCACACAAAAGGGAGCTTCATCTTTTTCTGGTTTGTGGAATGACAGTTTCATGGATGTAAACTATATCGACAATCACGTAAATAACATCGGCGCCCGCGTCAAAGCAAAAATAAATAATGAGCTTCGTCTTACCAACCTTCGGTCTCTGCCTTGCTCGGCCTTTATATATTATTTATGTCGTCGTCGAGTTTGAGAGCAACAAAAAAGCAAAAAATAAAAATAAAAAAATGCAAAATAAAAAAAATAAAAAAAGAAGTCAAAGTCACATGACGCACTAGTCTAAAAGTGGCAAAGCGTCCTTTCTGCTAGAACCTGCCTTATCAGGCTGATATTAGGTAATCTTCAAGTCACATGCTTTTTTTTCCCTTTTTTTCCTCTTTCTTTTCGCTTCTTTTTTTTTTGACTTAAAACTCCAACTTCACCAACTTTTGTTCTCTTTCATCGTCTTTACGCGCTTCTCTTTCTCTCGTTTTCTGGCCTTATGGAGCACCTTGCTTTGGCTGAGTGATTGATACTAACCGTCCCCTCTAACTTACATACTTACAATACGGCGCACAGAGTCCTCCAGGCCGATCCACGTTGGCTTTCAAGGATCAAACGTCAAGCATCAAGCTTATGTATTGAGCCTCCACTTTAATCCAACCCGGCACAGGACGATCGTCATACAATCCTCGCTTGCTCGCTCGCTTACGTGGATGTGGGATACTCTCGCCTCTCTTCTCACAATCTCTGCCAGAAAAACTGACAACACCTCAGCTTTTTCGCAGAATCGGACTGTCTGCTGGTCGAAAGAAGTGATATAAAGGCATCGAAGACAAGGTGGAAAAAAAGAAAGGAAAAGAGAGGAACACGATAAGAGAAAGGAATAACTAGCATCCAGGCAGATAGCTACATTTATTAGATTCTTGGTTTTCCTTTTTCTTTGGAGGCTGGGCTGTTGGAAGAAAGGTTGCTGCTTTGCTTGCCTGTTCTATCTCTATTTTTCTCATGGCATCTTCTGTCTCCCTTCCAGAATATTGACCTGTTGTTGGACAAGAAATTGTTCCGTTCCGGTTGATATCTTGGGAGAATCTCTTCTCTTCTCTTATTCTTTCTTTGTTCTCTTTTCTTCTACTTGCGCACCTGCTATATACCACAGACTGCGCGGAAGCATGGATAGCTCAACGCGCCCTTCTACACAGAAGAACCTTAGTGAGTCACCATTTTACCCCCTTTATTTTATCGATTTGACTCTCTTTCAGCTACTGTAGTGTTTCTCAGTCTGTATGATATGCTTATGTTGCTTGTTGGCAGTTGGTGATATTTAAGGGCTAGAGAGTGCTCTGATAGAGTCCGCTTTCTTGTATCAGATTACATTTCTAGCCTATTGAGACTGAATTTCAAGGAGACATGTAGTCATATGTATAAAACTGTGCTCTACAGTATAAAGAGAGAGAGAGAGAAAGAGAGAGACCCAGAGAAAAGAGGAATTGCTTTTGCTAACATTGATCCGATTAGCTCTTAATACCAAAGATATAGAGCCAATATCTACATCAGTAGCCTCCAGCAATGCACCAACATCAGCACCATCAACAGCACCTGTAGGTCGGTCAGGGGAGGAGCAGCAGCAGCAGCCTTATACAACAACAACACCAGATACCACGGGGGCTCGAAAGACCTTTCGTTCGGGCAAAAAGGGAGTCTCGACTCGACCGTGTATACCAAAATCCTCGTCCGCCTCCCTCAAGTCAGTATCAAGTCAGATATCCCATCTTAGCTTGGACCGTTCAAATAGCGACTTGAGCATAAGCAGCAATGCAAATACACATAATAACACCAGTGGATTGCCAACAACCTCCGCACCCTCGGATGAGGACCGGCTGTCTTCATCCATCTCGTCATTCCCGGCCTTACCACCACTCACATCTGAGCCACAGTCGTTTCTCTTCCGCAGTAGTACAGCCGATGATGTCAGTATACAGGCTCAGTACCATGCTCTGCTAGGTCAGGTTCATCAATGGCTGCACCAAGAGAAGTCAAAACTTGGCCTACCATCTACATCTACATCTACATCTACATCCACAGCAAAGTCACCCCGTCTTATCCCACGATCTACATCTGCACCTCTCAAGGGGGATCTGTCAGGCGAAAATGCTACCTCAGGAGATGCACAAGTGCCCGAGTCAACCCTAGCACTGGAGAAACTGGAGAAAATCCTCTCGCAGTACTCTACAGATGGGTTGTCAGGACCTGCTGGAGCACCATGGAGACGAAGACGAGGCGGTTCATGGGGCCAAGGGAAAAGAGGCTACGGCTTCAAGGGCCTCCGACGTGGCTCAGCGTCAGATTCCGACTACACAGATAATGAAATGTCTGTTCCCAGCGCTGATGTTGTACTTGATAATTCTAAGACACTTCTATATTCCGGTGGTGAGGCCGACTCGGACACAGTGACACAGCCTGAGGGCAGCAAACCTGCTACCAGCAAGGATAGAGAGTACTGGTTATATTTTAAGTCTGAGATTGTTCGGTTGACGCATACTCTTGGATTCAAGGGATGGAGAAGAGTCCCTCTCGATGCAGGGGGAGAAGTTGAAGTTGTTCGTTTGAGCGGCGCACTTACGAATGCCGTATATCAAGTCTCGCCTCCAAAGGATATGTCCAAGTATTCTCAGTCTACTTCTAGCCAGGGCTTGCCTAGAAAGCCTCCTCCGTAAGTACGCCTTGTTAACTTGTATGGAAGATCAGCATAACTAACGAATGGTAGAAAACTGCTCCTCCGCATCTACGGCCCTCAAGTCGAACATCTTATCGACAGAGAGCATGAACTTCAAGTCCTCCGCCGTCTGGGGAAGAGGAACATAGGTCCACGGGTACTAGGAACATTCAAGAATGGCAGATTCGAGCAGTACTTACATGCTCGTACGCTAACAACTCGCGACCTACGGATACCAGAGACATCTATCCAGATTGCCAAACGTATGAGAGAACTCCATGAGGGGATCGACTTACTGCCAGAGGAACGAGAAGGTGGCCCGGGTTTGTGGAAGAACTGGGACAAATGGGTCAATCGCTGCGAGAAAGTGACCACCTGGCTTGACAGCGAAATTCTTGCAGACCACAACGAAGGCAAATCAGCCAAAGAGCCATGGAGAAAACGAGGATTTGTCTGCGGCGTCCCCTGGGAAACTTTCCGGGGTATGGTTGATAGATATCGCCAGTGGCTTGCTGCTAGCTTTGGTGGAATAGAGGAGATTACCCGTCGGTTGATTTTTGCTCATAATGACGTGAGTTCCTCCAATCATCCTAATGCCGCATTATCCAGGACTAACGAACAATGTACAGACGCAATACGGAAATCTGCTTCGTCTCGAGCCAAGCGGAGAATCACCACTATTGCTTCCCGCCAACGAACATAAGCAGCTTATCGTTATTGATTTTGAATATGCGGCAGCGAATATGCGAGGAGCAGAGTTTGCCAATCACTTCGTAAGTCCGCCTACGTATTTGTCTATGATTCAAGAAGTAGGTATTAACGTCTATAGACGGAATGGTGCTATAACTACCATGATGAGGACCGCCCTTGGAGATGCAACACAGCTTGGTATCCAACGCTTGAGGAGCAAAAACGGTTCATCCGCGCCTATCTCACTCATCGGCCCCGTCTTATCTCTGAGACAAACAGCAGCACCTATCCCTTAGGCCAGAACTTCTCCACTAGTTCAGTGTCAAGTACCATGACCACACCAGGCCTGAGACCAACATACACCAGTAGCCCCCGCGTTGCTCCCTTAAGCCTAGACACATATACTCCTTCGGTACCCTTCTCGATAAGTGAAGACGACCAAATTGATGAGGAGCTCGAGGTAGAAGTGCAAAAGCTGCTTCATGAAGCTCGGGTCTGGCGCATAGCTAACTCAGCTATGTGGGTAGCATGGGGTATCGTGCAGGCCAAAGTCCCTGGTCTCGAGGCTGCGGTTGCAGGGACAAGTACTCCGGTAGCACATACTTCTACATCTGACGCAGCCAGCAGCAAGAACGACAAAGAAACTGCCCTAACTAGCGATGAGAGTACCGATGATGCATCTACTACGCCTACGCAAGAAACGGTAGATGTGCAGCAGATGCTTGCAGCTACTGACCAGGCGTTGCAGGAAGCGGAGGTCGATGAGGCTGCGGATGAGTTTGATTATCTCGCCTATGCACAGGACCGAGCATTGTTCTTCTGGGCTGATATCCTGGCCATTGGGCTGATTAAGGAGGAGGAACTGCCTATGGAGATGCTTGAGCATATCAAGAGACGTATTGTTGAATATTGATTTGCTTGATACCCTCCCTATCGGAGTATCTATCATTTGGCGAGCGACAATTATTTTCCTGTTTATACCTATTAGTTATTGTTATGACTAAATTGAGAATGTATGATGTCTAGAATGTGAATATCTTTACTATTTACCTTTCTTCCAACCATAATGCTTAGCTGTGAAGTAACGATGCGATTTAACCTAGTAGTTGGTATACAATTAAAATCTAAAGAATTCTTTCCTGTCTAGCTAGAAGAAAGATGGGTCGAGTGTCGAGTAATAATTTAAATGGCCAGATGCGATTGAAACGCACTATCAGCTAACAACATCTCACTGCATCCAGATTTGCTGATTTCCCCCAAACAACTTTCTTAAGACCTCAGTGTTCAGGGCGACGGTATTTGGGGATAAGAAGTATTGAAATGGCCTTCCCAGCACTTCATATTGTCGAGCCCAAGGGTGCTCATACACATTCGGCCATTCTCCTCCACGGCCGCGCGAGCAACGGCGCTGAGTTCGCTGAAGAGTTCTTCGACTCAAACACGTCGGAGAAGAAGAATCTACCAGCTCACTTTCCTGGCTGTAGATGGGTGTTCCCTACATCTCGAGAGCGATGGAGTGTTGTATTTAAGGAGAACATGACAGCCTGGTTTGATATCTATTCTCTCGTGAATATCTCAGAGAAGCAGGACCTTCAGGTTGAGGGGCTTAAGGAGTCTATGGCGTATCTACTGGACATCCTGGAGAGTGAAATTGCACTTCTCGGCGGCAGAAGCGACAGGCTTGTACTCATCGGGATGAGCCAGGGCATGGCAACAGCTCTCTGGACACTCCTGTGCTCTCCCGGACGAATCAAGGGCAGGATAGGAGGCTTTATAGGCATGTCTGGCTGGCTCCCGTTTGCCGGCGATATACTCGACCTGCAATCTCAGTCTCCGTCTCAGTCTTTGCAAGATGTTATATCGACTCGATATGGAGAGCATATTCAAGCTACGGATGAAGAGGTCAAGACGATGCTGTCTACACCGGTGATGCTGCTACATGGGACAGACGATGCCTGGGTCGACGCTGAGCTGGGCCGACAGGCACATGCAGGCCTGACCAAGCTGGGGATGTACACTATCTTCAAGGAATATACGGGTGCGGACAATGACGGGCACTGGGTCAAGGAGCCGGAGGGTGTCGATGATATTGCAGGGTTCCTTGGGGATATCTACCCAGGGGAGACACAGTGACTGACCAGGGCAAAGAAATAACCAGCCCCGCCGGTGGCATTAGTTAACCTCTCACAATGTAACGGAGCCCGCATCTGCATCTTGAATCTTGGATTCAAACACTGTAACCGTTCGTGTTCACCCGGATCCAGGCCAAAAAAGCAAGGAAGCAGGGAAAAGAAGCAAAGAAAGCAAGATGAAGAAGGGGCTGGCTATGCAGTTGCATTGCTGCACTCTCCTCTTCCCCCCGGTGGGCGCCGACGCAGTAACTATTTATACTGCCAGAAATGCCGTTTATTTTGATCTAGGCTGTTATGCCACGTCCTGAAGACTCGCCGTCGATATATCAATAACTAGTTAACTAGCCAGAAAGCCATAATTAGTTAACTAACTAATATCCTCTCTTGGTGCGGTGAGATTCACTATGTTGGGGCGTACACTCGCCCTCGCTGCAGTCTTCGCTACGACTGCTTTGTCCGCTGCTGCGTCCCCTGAGGAGTGTCCGGGGTACAAGGTATCCAACGTCAGGGACAATGGACATACTCTGAAAGCGGACCTCCGGCTCGCAGGCAAAGCGTGCAATGTTTACGGCAAGGATATCAGGCAGTTGAAGCTCCGTGTTGAATACCAGACTCGTAAGGCACCTCATCATGTTGGCTACCTATATACAATGTGTGCTAATGGGAATAATAGATGAACGGTTGCATGTTATCATTGAAGACTCTAAAGAAGACGTATATCAGGTCCCTGAGTCTGTGTTTCCTCGGCCAGAGTCTGAAGAGAATGACAGTGCCTCGACAAAATCAGCTCTAAAATTCTCCATGACCCAGAAGCCATTCTCCTTCAAGATAACCAGGCGAGCTACTGATGAAGTCATCTTTGATACATCCAACTCTCCCTTGATCTTTGAATCTCAGTATCTACGCCTTCGCACTTCTTTGCCAGATGAGCCCAACTTGTACGGACTAGGAGAGCACAGTGACCCTTTACGTTTACAGACAGAAGATCTTGTTACTACTCTTTGGAATAGAGATGCCTTTGGTATTCCTCCTGGCACTAACTTGTACGGTTCACACCCGGTCTATTATGACCATCGAGGGAGGTCAGGCACTCATGGTGTTTTTCTCTTGAACTCCAATGGCATGGATGTCAAGGTAGGGAGTGAGAATGGTGACAATGGAAAAAAGTACCTGGAATATAATACCCTAGGAGGCGTCTTAGACTTTTATTTCATGGCTGGACCGACGCCAAAGGAGGTTGCTTCTCAATATGCTGAAGTGGTTGGCCTGCCCGCCATGATGCCCTATTGGGGGTTTGGAGTAAGACTTTCACGCCCATGTCGCTCTTCACCTTTGACTTTATGAAAATCTTAATGCTGATTGAATCTAGCTTCATCAATGCCGGTATGGCTACCGGGACGCTTTTAATGTTGCCGAGGTGGTCTACAACTATAGCCAGGCTGGTATACCCTTGGAAACTATGTGGACAGATATCGACTACATGGACGGACGCAAAGTCTTCACACTGGACTCGAAGCGCTTCCCCATAGATGAGATGAGAGCCCTAGTAAAGTACCTCCACGATCACAACCAGCATTATATTGTCATGGTAGATCCAGCAGTGAGCTACGGCGACAATGACGCCTTTGAGAGAGGGAAAACGCAAGACGTGTTTATGAAATCCAGGGACGGAGCAATCTATAAAGGTGAGTTAGAGGCTCTACCCCTTTATTTACTCTATACTAAGTCATCTATAGGCGCCGTCTGGCCTGGTGTCACTGCCTTTCCTGATTGGTTTCATCCCGGGACTCAAGATTACTGGAATAATGAGTTCAAACTATTTTTCGACCCTGAAAAAGGAATAGACATCGATGCTCTCTGGATAGATATGAACGAGGCTTCCAATTTCTGCGATTGGCCGTGTTCTGACCCTGAAGGGTGGGAAAGAGACCATGATCTACCACCAGCTCCTCCACCAGTCAGACCAATCCCAAGACCGCTACCTGGATTCCCGGATAAACTCCAGCCTGGTAGCGTTAAGCTTGTCAAGCGCGATGGAACCAGATTAAGAAGCCAAGCTGGCTTGCCAGGTCGTGATCTTATTGATCCGCCTTACAGGATCCAGAACGAAGCTGGATCTATCAGCAACAAGACCTTGAATACTGACCTGGTTCATGCCAACGGTTTGGTTGAGTATGATACTCATAACCTTTACGGCACTAGTAAGTTTTAGACTTCTGCCTCTTCTTATACACTATACTAAGGTTCTCCAGTGATGAGTAGTGCCAGTCGAGAATCTCTTTTAGCTCGACGTCCGACAAAGAGGCCCATGGTGATCACTCGAAGTACTTTTGCGGGGGCTGGAGCTCATGTTGGGCATTGGTATGCATACCCTTTCCTTCGAATGTGCTGCAGTGCTAACCATATACAGGCTTGGTGATAACCTCAGTGAATGGAGCCAGTACCGGTTTTCAATTTCCCAGATCCTTCAATTTGCAGCTATATACCAGGTTCCCATGGTAGGAGCTGACGTATGCGGCTTTGGAGGTAACGTCACGGAAGAATTATGTGCTAGATGGGCTATGCTAGGCGCCTTTTACCCATTTTATAGGAATCACAACGATATTGCTGGCCGAGACCAGGAATTTTACCGCTGGGAGTCCGTAACCGAGGCAGCAAGGACTGCCATTGGAATCAGATATAAACTCCTTGACTACATCTACACTGCTTTCCACCGTCAAACACAGTCTGGAGACCCCGTTTTGAACCCACTCTTCTACATCTACCCGGAGGACAAAGATACCTTTGCAATCGACCTACAGTTCTTCTACGGCGATGCATTGTTGGTTAGTCCGGTAACGGACGAAGGTGCCACCAGTGTTGAAATATATCTTCCTGATGATATCTTCTATGATTACTATACAGGGGAACCTGTTGAAGGAAAAGGAGGCCTGATTACAATGGAGAATGTTCCCATCACGCACATTCCCCTTCACTTCCGCGGCGGACAAATTGTTCCAATGCGCGCCGACAGTGCCAATACAACCACCGAGCTACGAAAACAGCCATTCGAACTTGTCATCTGCCTCGACCGTGAGGGTAATGCAGAAGGTAGCCTCTATCTAGATGATGGTGATTCCCTTGAGCAACCCCATACATCAGAAATCAACTTTGAATACCACAACGGAGTCCTCAAAGTCTCTGGAAAGTTCGATTTCCAAAACGAGGAAGCTTTAGAGATCAAAAACATATTTGTCCTGGGGTACAAGCAGGATATGACTGTGCAAGACAAAGGGAATAAGAACAAAGATTCCCAGTATGATGAGAGGTTGAAAAAGCTGGCTATCAAAGCTAAAATTTTGCTTACGGGGCCTTCTGAAATGACTCTTCACTAGAGGATGGCAGTGAAGTGAGAGTATTATTATACTAGGCATTAAATATATATACATTGATACACTTGCTCAATATTCTGTCTCCATATCTTTTAAGGAGGCTTTGATATTACCCCTACCCCTTTGATGCCCTCTCTCAGAGCTAGAGGTTTACTAGATAGAATATCACAGCAGAGCACATGATAAGATACCTATATATTAACATTCAGAAATTAAGACAGACCTAGTAGCATTTATGTTTGCAGCCATGGCATTAATCTCACTTGATTTAGTTGCGTTCCCTGAGCGTCGTCCTGCTGCACTCCCAACTGCTATCAAAAAAGTCTTCCACCTCCTTTCTCTTCTCCTCAAACAAGCAACTGTCCTTCCAGTTTATATTTGAACTTCGACTTCGACCAAATTCAGCCTACAAACCACCTTCAACAGCCCTTGATCGGTGACCATGGATCTCAGCAAACGCTGCGGCAGCCCTGAAAGCCCCAAACGCAAGAAACGGAAAACAAAACATACTTTGAGACACAGATCAGCTTCAGTTCCAGCTCGATCTAGGGCTCCACGGCCTGAGACTGCTCCTGAACCCAAGGCTGGAGACCCGTTGACGAAAGAAGCCCTTGATGCATTGAACAAATTCGTCATGGCTAATCCTAGCGCTGAGGCCTTGAATGAACGCGAGTCAGGGGTAAAGATGAAGCTTCGCTATGCCCCTGATTACTTCACTGCATGTGACTTTGTTGCACAATGTGAAATGCAAGAGATTGCTGAAAACGAAGGCTTTGATATGTCTGGCTTGAGAATCGTACGTTGGTATCATGATTTATTCGCTCGATTCTTCATACAATCTAACGTTGCTGGTAGGCCTTGCATGACCAGACCCATGACTATGCTTGCATTGAAGTTCCAAAGGGTGAGGAAGACTATGCCGCTGAACAGTTTGCGGATAACGAGGACGACGGAGCTGTCTGTGGAGACGACAAAGATGGCAAAGCTCGTGATATCGGCGATACCCAGGTTGAAGGCGCTGTTGATATCGAAGGCAATATGACTGGCAACCGTACTATCGAGCTTGCTTCCAAGGAGGCCTGGCTTGGGGCTCGCGGGATGGTCTTGGACACTGCCGCTGATGGAAGGCTTGAGCTTCGTCCTACTAGGTCATCATCTTCAGAGTCCGACGAGGAAGATGAAGAAGATGAAGAAGATGAGGAAGATGAGGATCCCATGGTTGGCTTGCCAACGCATTTTTCAGACCCGGCCAACTTGAACATGAACGACTTTATCCAGGTTCGCGCTGCGATCGAGGAGACTGCTATCATCATGAGGACTCTTTTCGGCCGTCTGCAGATGTTGGAGAATGAGAACGAGGATTAGAATTGGCACAGTGAGATGTCTATCGTGTCGAGTTATGTGTGTCCAGGTAGGAAATACCCCTGACAGAAAAATAATGAAAATAACAAAAAAAAAAAAAAAAAGCGGTGCTGTGTGATGGAAATGTTGATTCAGGGGTATCGAAGGTTGGGGCGGCGTGCGCCATATTAAAACTGTATCGAAAAGGCCCTTTCGAGCACATCTCTCTTCTTCACTGGCTTGAATGGTGTGAATAATTGAAATAAACAAGATTAGGATACAGGACAAGTTCGCTAGTCTATATGCATCTGAAGAGACATCGTCAGATATTAATTATAACGTTCCAGATGAACTTTGCACTTATTTGTTAGACGTGGGGACGTCTGCCGGAAGCTCTTGCGGTGAGTAGTCCCTGTCAGGCAGCTCTGAAGGTGCTTGTTGGCTGACTCCAGCATCCATCTCAAGGGGGGTATCATGGTTATGTTTCTTGTCCTCCTCCGCTCTCTGGCTCGTATTAACAAGGGGCAACCCTGCCTTGGAATCTCTGTCTCGGTTTTTGTTGCGCCGTTTGAGGAAGAAGAATAGTCCGAGAGCAGCTATAGCGAGGAAAGCAACGACACCGATGACTATGCCTGCAATGGCGCCTCCACTCAGGGAAGAATCATCGTCGCAGTTTGAACCACCTCGAACAGTTACCAAGTCTGTGTCTGTTGTTGGATTGGCCTGCCAGACGCTAAACTCCTTCATGTCGTTGTTAACGTGTATATAGGCGGATGTAAGGAATGGTTGGCCTAGATAAGGCATAGCCTCATGTCTGGTCTGCCCGAAATTGATAGTCTTGTTGCCATCAACTATCTTCTGTTGTCCATTATCATCTATTTCTACGTTCGGCAAAACGAGTTGATGATTAGGTATGGTGATCTGAAGTCCGGAGGAGAGGATGAACGTGATATTGCCCATAAACCTGATCATGTTAGTTTTCTGTATTGTCTTGTATATTTAAGGGGAGAGAAATTAGCACATACACATCCTCCGGCTCATAGGCAAGGCTTGAAGGGTATATTCCAGTTGAATGCTCAACAGCCTTCCCCGGAAAGGCTTTCTTCAGGTTGCCAAAAACGTCCTCTGGAAGAATAACCTGGGAGTTATCCGGCTTGATGCAGGCGCGTAAAGCAGAACCCGGCGTATTGAGCAGGCTCGTTTTCTTTCCATCTATATGATTGACAACAATATTGCTCAGATAGACGAGCAGTGAGCTCGGGCATCCAATTCCATCTGAGAATGGAGCTGTTAGAGGCGCGCCTCCAGCCATCTTTGCCTTGTCATATCCACCCAACACCAAGCTTCCATTCATCTGGTTCTCCTGCTCAGCTCCTTGCCATCCCCAGAATAGTGACCATGACCTCGACGCAATTTTGCCTTGGTCGTAGAGGCGATTGAGAAAGGCTGAATTCGGCCCGAAGCCTATTCCATTCTGAGGTATGACTCCTGGCTTTGGAAAGTAGACTGGGAACTGGTCGAGTGAAATATCTGATCCCACCTTCAGCGTATCTGTTCCTCTTATATTTATGGTCTCGCCTTTCGGGTTCTTATCTGTCTGCTCGGGGTTCTCTGGTCCTCTCCAAGACGTCGAGCCTTTATCGTTGAAAGACCCTCCATGTACCCAGGAGCAGGCAGGTCTGCTCAGATTACCGCACGGGAAGCTCGTGTTCCAGAAAGCCGTACTGTTCCAGTCACTGCATACAGAAATAGTGTGTTAGCGGTTGAGTGACTGCAGCGTCTGCATATTTGCCCATATAAAAGCGACTTACGCATCCAGCGCAGCCACTATAGTCTGCGCAGGAGTTCCGAATTCCACAGCTAACCCCCATCGCACAACTTCTCGGTCTGATATCGTGCCATTCCCAATGGGCAGAGACAATGGTGGTGCGTCGCAAGCAGATCTGACAAGGCCTGAGAATGAGACCAGGAGATACGCGCATGTCAAAAGCAGAGAACAGCCCATCTTGAAGCCGGTCTACTCCCTCTGATAGCGGTAAACACAGCCAACCACGGTTCACAGGCAACAAGATGGGTTGTTTTTCAATGGAGAACTAGGTCCTTTCGTAGCCGCTGTGTTCCTGGATTGTTTGTGGAGGAGAATATAGGACGAAAACCTGAGGCCTCCGTCGGTCTCTTTGGCCCAGCAAGTATCAACTGGTGATCCTTCAAGGGCTAATCAGCCATGTTTGGCAGGGATAAACATGACCGTCGTATTGCACGACTCAGCCTTCGTGAAGACTTGCGGGCCCGTTCATGCATCGATGATACTGCATATTACAGACAAGCTGTGGCTTTCCAGTGTCACTCCGGAGTAGTTAACTCGTTACTCCGTTCGTTGATCATACGCTAGATATGCGGTTAGCAGGGAGTCCGATAACTATCAGAACAAGGGCATTCGACACCTTACGAGGAAAAGTCTTCATCTTCGTTCTCCGGCTTTTTCTGTTGCACACTTTCTTCGATTGTGAGAGCCAATTTCCGGTGCTGAGCCGCGATCCCTGTGATGTGTGGAACAGGAGTGGAGGTCACAGACGGCCGAAGAGCTGCTTGGAGTGGTCAGGATGCAGGCGCTTCATGGATTCCAGCTTGGCGATGGCGTATTCTAAGCAAATGGCGTTACAGCCGCAAGAAAGTAGCGCATGCTCGAGATGAAACGGTGGCTGGATGCTGGTATAGTTGTTTGGTCGTGTGTTGTTGTTAGCATCTATAGTTAATTCGTGATAATGGCAAGAGTGTGTTATTCTTGTGTTATTCTATAACTAACTAACCAACTATCAACATCTAACTAATATCTACCAACAGGAATCTATGTGCATATTAGTTAACTAGCTAGTTACTGAGTTCACGAACTGACGCACGAAGATGACAAAAATATAGTCATCAGTGTTCTAGTCTTTATTCGAATTCCAAGAGTTAGTAACTGCAGATATTGAATCAATACGATGCCTTGGAGGAGGCAGTTAGGTAATGACCGATGATAGGGGTATAAAACGGCTGGCGCGTTGGGTAGCTAAGTCATGGCGACAGGTTATCTATGAAAATACTGGTTACCTATGAACGTTCGAGTCAGCTTAGCATCGGTCTGTTCATGTCGGCTCGACCTCTTCTCTCTCATGGAGCTCATATTCAAGATCTCTTTTTTAACAGCACACCAGCTGTGATACAAGAGTAAGGGCTGTTGCCGCGTATTAAGGTATATATATAAATCATTGCAAACACCCCCCGGGCAACGACAGTAAGCAGAAGGGGAAAGAGATAAACATCACAGGTAATCAAGTAAATATGAACTTGGCCATCACAGACTAGCCTTCCCCCTGGACTCAAAGGGCTGGAACAAAACTAATATACCAGCCGCTATGAACAAGGCACCGCTAACATACACGGGTGCGGCTGTCTGAAGATTGGCAAACATGGCAATAATGGGGGCCATAACGCCGAAAATGCGATTCGCCGCAGCAGTCAACGCATTACCCGTTCCTCGGTCCTTAGTAGGGAAAATCTCAGGTGTGTAGGCATACAGAACGGCATACATGATGTTACTCATGAAGTTGTAGGCGCAATTCCAGCCCAGTAGCGCATCAGAGGTCCTTGCAGTTGTGGAGCAGAAGAGAAAGACACCTGTCATCGCGGTGGAAAGTGAGAGGGCCCCTTTGCGGCCAATATAGGGTATCTCGACCAGTGCGCCTCCGACAAGAGAGCCCGGTATTCCTAGGACTGCGATAATGAGAGAGTTCCTATAAGTAATGTAGGTAGAGCTGTCACCAAAATGCGCGCCTCGAGAGGCTTGGATGAACGGCAGAAATGCGTTGTATAGAGGAAATCCAAGACCAATGAACGCCCAAACACCGATTATAACTGAAGTTGAAAATGCTAGGGTAGGAGATCCAAACAACGCATTCACATGCTTGAAGTCAAACTTTGACAACTTTCGCTGCACTGCAACTTTGGCGTTGCTTCTGATGGGGGGTCCTATGCGGGCAAGGTCTTCGACGGTAAGAGTAGAAACTTTGCCGTTTCGTCTGGCAACTTCATGCACAACCCGGACTGCTTCTTCATCCTGGCCTTTCCCCATTAGATACTTCGGAGACTCGAAGATGGTGAAGCAAGTAAATCGCAGGAGGAACATGACCATTGAGAGCCCTCCCATGGCAATCAGGAAGTACCTCCAGCCCATGTTAGCAGACCTTGTGCACTCGGAATTTTCCTGGCAAGAATAGTTTCCGAGCAGTGGCCAGGCAACCAGATTCGCCAGAACTTGTGCCAGGGCCCAGTCGATCGAAAGAATGGTAAGGAGGTACTGGTGCGTTGATGGGAGGAACTCAAGGAAAATGGCTGAGTCGACGGGTAAGTTGCCCCCTACTCCGATAGACCACAACGCGGCAAAAGCCCCAATGGCAGAGAAGGATGGTGAACCTGCTGCTGCTAGTCCAAACACGGCAGTAATCCCAATTGTCAAGTTAAAGGCCCATTTTCTCCCGTAGATGTCGCACCCAAACCCCCAGAAGACAGCACCCACCAGCAGCCCCAGATTTTGAGCAAGCGTAAGAAGCGGTGCCTTTGATGGCATGAACTCATTTTTCACAGGGGTAAAGATGAGGGAAGTAATAATCGGCCACATATTGTCACTTGCCCACCCGAAGCCAATAACAATGAATAGTTGCCATTGATACCATCCCATTCCAATGTCAAGGATGGCCTTATTCAACAACAATGCTTTGGCCTCATAAACCGGGTCCATAGTGCCTTTAGGAATGGTGGCCAGAAGCTCCTCATTCGAGGACGTATCAGTGAGTGTGTCGTCATAGTCCCCCGGTTGTTTGGGGTCATCCCTTGAACTGCTTGCGGCCATCTTGCAGTATATATCAAAAATTAATACCGTCTTTAGTAAGGACAACAATATAGAAGAGTAATAATCAATTGAAATTGGTAGTATACGGGAAGAGAAAGAAAAGAAATAAGCGAGGCCATATACACGGAAAGACAGCAGTAAACAAAATATGACCCCACGTTGTCTCCGGGTGAAGATAATGGTTCAAACCAGACATGGAGGGAGAGCTGCCACCTATTTAACCTCCTGGGGTGGCACACACTGACATAGCCAAGCGTCACATTATCTGAAGTTAATGCCTCACATGCATCTGTCTAAACGTAGTTAAATAACTAGCTCTAGCCAACCCTTGGAAGGTGGAATCGGGAAAGTACCCTGGAAGCGGAGAACTCCCAGCAACATCGTCGGACTTCAGCGGGCCCAAAACTTCCAGGCAAGTGAGAAATAGCCAGTCAGGAACGGCAGTAAGGCAACAAGGGTGGAGAGTCATCTGGAATAGCCGGACAAGCAGCGAGCAGCGTCTTCTGATTCTCCTGGTGGTTGCTTCGACAAGAAAAAAAAAAACAACGAGAATAAAGTTCGTGATAACAATTTAAGGTGGGATGACAAATCACGGAAGACGTCATAGCTCTCGTCTTGGCATGTTTACTTTATTTTATCGCACTGTCATTGGCCAAACCTTAAGGCACGTGAGAGTTTAAACAAACACTGCAAAGCCTGCAAACACCACTTGCTTAATAAGCTGAATAATTGCTTCTTCCACAATATCAATATTATTGCTCTTCCCAACGACAACTACGAACGAACAAACAAATTTCGACCAACACGAATGCTACTACAAATCTAGCTCGACATGCCCGGGGCTAGGCGGAAGTTCTCCCGTGTCCCAGCTTTTCTTTTCTGGGCCCAATACGAACTCGATGGTCCCACCGTCTTTGATATCATCATGACTCACCCAGCTCTTGGTCCATAGCTTACCGTTGACCTTGACACTCTGGACGAAATAGCTGTCCTCGTTGAGGTTTTGCGCAGTGATCGTGAGCCTTGAGTTATCACCCACCGCAATGGAAACATTGTTAAACCACGGGCTTGATAGCAGATAAACTGGCTGGGTTACCACAGGGTACAGACCCAGGAAGTTCCATATCAGCCAGCTATCAATAGCTCCTGCGTCACTATTCCCTATATTTTATTATTAAATTGAAATGAACAAACAAATAGGGACTAGAAAACGTACCTGGAAGTCCAGACGGTTGAGTACTATAATACGAGTTAACCGTGTCTCGAAGGCGGAGAACGGATTTCCACTGCCGTCCAGGGAGGTAGTTGTACAAGAACGGAGTGAAAAAGCTCGGCTCATTCCCAGGGTTAAATAATGTGGTGCCTATAGAAGACGTAGAACATCAGAAGCTTGTGCAAGAAACGAATGAATCAAGGATGTTGAAACTACCTAGCGTGTTTGTTCCGCCAGAGCCCACATCCCCCTTACGGAGTCCTGGAACAAACATCTGATCAAGCCTTTGCTCCATTGTTTTTGCGCCGCCCATGAATTGGATCAGGGATTTCATATCGAATGGAACAGTCCATCCGTATTCAATTGGTAACGCCTCATAGCTATGGGAACTCCATTCACACTCCCCGCAATCGAGAGGATCATACCCCGGTGTCACAGAACCATTCGGCCAAGTTGGAGCTAGAAACCCTGTGAAGTTGAGGCTGCTGATGTTCTTGTGCCATATTCGCTGCCACCCGGCGCTCCGGGTCAGATACTTATCATAATCTTCTGGTGCAAGGTCCTTTGCAACTTGGCTCAGAGCAAAGTCATTTAACGAGTACTCAACTGTCCGGCTAATGCTTCTACCAAAACTTGGAGTCACATACCCATACCGAAGCCAATCTGGAAGGGCACCACGCCCTTCCTTTGTGGAGCCAGTCAGATCTGCCGGCCCAAAATTGTTGTATGGTACTACTTCAGCATCCGTTCTCATGGCTAAATACCCGTCTGTCCAGTTAACGCCCTCTTGAAGGCCTTTGACATATGCGTCTGCCAGGATATTGTCTGCATTACTACCTCCTTGAACCTGTGTCTCCAGAGTCAGCAATAATAATCTCCAGTAACGGAAGTGCGAGGATATTCATACTCTTCCATTTGCATTGCCACTTCGACCATCAGGCATAAAACGCTCAAACCTCCAGATATCAATCAAGGAACGGATGGTTTCTGCCGCGAACTGAGGCTTGGTTAATAAGTAGAAACTATTCAGGCATCGGAAGGTATCCCATATGGCATAATAATCGTCATAGTAAGGTTCTGCCGATTCCCAATATGGGTTTTCACCTGTTCTGTTACTAGGAAGCAGATGTGAACGATATAGAGCGGAATACAACATTGTCCGTCTTGTTGTATTGGTATCCGACGTTGTCACTGTGCTCAGCACTTCACTATTCCACCGACCCTTTGCGTCATTTACGGTATCGTTGATATTCCAGGACCTCATCTCATTAATAAACTGACATGCTTTCTCGGTTGAAATAAATGAAACACCAATCCTGGACTTTGAGGTCCTGGTGTCTGATGGAAACTCGAAAACAGCTCCGACTCTGTCTGCGTACTGATAACCTTCTCGTCCTCCTGTGATTGTTTGCTGATTTGAAAACTTTGCCTCTCCTCGAACTTCATCATATGGATCAGTATATGGGGCCCGCCATGTTCTTGTGGAGGATGGAGCTATATCAAACTCGGCACACATGAAAACCTGGAAGTTCGGTCCTAATTTTGGTGAGATTCCAGATTAAAGATATCGAAGAAAACTCATACCTTCGTTCCAGCCTCCTCGATAAATACCATATCCGGTATACATCCGCCCACCGTCCTGTATATCAATCTTCCCATTGCTATACATCTGGTTTGCGCTTGGTTCTCCATGGGTTGGCAGATAATGGCTTAAGTCAACTAAGACAAACTTTCCTGTGGAAGATGGATATGTATATTGAAGAATTCCGGCGTGGTCAGTGGCAGACATCTCTGCTGTAATTCCATTTCGGAACCTAGTCTTATAATACCCCACTGATGCAGAGTCTTTGCCGACTCGAGGTTGCATATATGTCCTGTTGTCGGCTACTTCCACCCCGTCAAGGATTGAAAGTGGCATCTGAGATACCACCCCATACTTAGGTGCGCCTCCTGTTCCGCTCTCATGCAAGAAGGATATAGCAGATACATTCCCATCGGGTGAATATCCTGCATTCACATCGACTTTCCTCTTCTCGTCCACATCATGGCTATTGAGCAAAGAAGTTAGCCACGGAACAATCATACTACAGATGGATCGGAATGCCAGGGCCTAGTACACTATGGTATCGATTCCCACCTTAACTACTCCGAAGGGTAACCTGGTGCCGGTTAGATACTTATGTTGCTATGATGTGGAGAGAACATACGCTGCGCCAGGGAAAACGTTTCCGCCATTGTAAGATGTGCCAGCAACACTACCTTCAGTTCCAATAAATAAATCGACATATTGTGTTAGATCGATATCATTGTCCTTAGCATTAGATGTGAGCGACAGTATGAACAGAGATGCCAAAATGGCAATATATTTGTAGCTAGTAACAAACATTTGGTGATGCTCATAACTAGGCTAAAACGAGAACCCTAACTAAGGCAACTTTGTTAGTGAGAAGAAGTAAGACTAGTTGATGCTAAACTGACGGGAAGTATTTGACCATATATGCTTATTCCCTCCGTGTGACCTTTTACGTCCGTCCTGAGCTTGAACCTCTGTGCATAATCCTGCTTAGGTGGTATGTAGCGGGCATGCATACATCCTGGAGAACGACATCCAATTACAGATATAGCTGTCCTTAAGAGCTGAATCGAGGTGGAGGAAACATTCATCTTGGATGTAACCAACATATCCTGGGTTACACTATGTATGCAGATTGCGGGGTGGATCGGCATCCAGGATATCTTCAAGCTGTGACCTTGAATGGGGTTCGTATGGTCGGTATCTCCGACCCAGTACGATGCCGAAGCGTCAAGTGTTGGTCTGGCGGGTTGGTTCAACGCATATCACATCTTATCGTGGGAGCCTAAATAATTCCATATAACAAAAGGATAAAGGAGTAGGCGAAATGTCTATATAATTAATTTGCTTGAGTAAAAAACATCTATAGAACGTATTAAATTCTACTCCGACGCCAAAGATAAGGAACGTCAACATCAGTCATCGTACAAACCCAATCCCGGGATTCACCGCAGTATATTGGGACACAATATAGCCGCTTTTCTACACCATAATCTCCCCAATTAACAACCATATCAAATCGAGTGTTCTTTCCCAAACTTTCACTAAGGAGCTTCATCTTTTCAGTCGGGGTGTGCTTTAGGTGGCTGCGAATATATTCACCCTCGGCGTGTAGAGAGCGTGAAACATGAGATATTTTATAAACCGTGCTGTCTTGGAGTGATCGGGCTAGGATAAATATATCCTTGTAGATGTAAAGAAGCTCTGCGCTAAATTCCGAGAGCAGCTGCTCTGTTGTTTGAGAAAATTCCGAGAGCAGCTGCTCTGTTGTTTGAGAAGGGCCTATGCTCATAGGAGTTTGACTCCGATGTACCCCGTTCCCTTTGCTCTCATCCGGGAGGTTTGGTGAAGCATTAATCACCTCTGCAGCACTGAGGTTGACACGTGAATTAATGCTCGGTAATATGCCGCGTTCAGTCTCGCATACCTTTGGGTTCTGCCTTAGCTCTAGGTCCTCTAATGTGGCAGCGTACAGAAAGTCTGTGATATCAAGAAGCGTTGTAAGAAGTAGATGGCATTCCCCAGAAGTCGCAGTAATCAACCTCGTAGCGATTATAAGGTACGAGACATCGTTCCCATTTTCATCGTACCCTGAAACAACAGGACATGGTTCTTCTTCGAGAACATTGATATTTAGCGGGAACTTTTCTCCTCTTCCACCCGCAGAGTATATATCCTTGGAAGCAGCAACAACTGCATTTCCTGGTGATTTCGTGTCCAGAACGCAAAAGGAGCTGAGATGGTCCAGGAGTTGCACGAGCTCTACAGCGCGTGGAGAAGCGCTCCTTGAGATGATTGAACATACAGGAGAATGAGGTGGCGCAGGGCTAAGTCGTATATTTGGAGATGAAGTCATGGTAAATGAATACTGCGACCTGAGGTTGGCGATGCAGCTTTTCTTCCGTACAGAGGTGGTAGAGATGCTTGTATCACTAGACTGGAGGGTAGAAGTTGACGCCGAAGGAGAAATTGAAGAATCAAGACTCGTTCGGAGAGTGGCTGGTTGGCTGTAGTAATGGTTCTTGTCACTTTTGTGTTCAAAGGTAGGTGAACTTTCTAATACAGGCGAGTAAATTAAACGCCATCCAGAGTCGCCGTTTCCTTCTAGTGGGTTATTGGGATGTAGAGCACATTTTAACCAAATGCCTTCGGATAATAGTCGTAAATCGGCCCAGGAGTCTCTGCAAAACGACGTATCGAAGCTGTCATTGACCATATGTATCCCTGTAGGGCCTGTACCCTCCAAATCATCCTGGTCAGTTGATGGTGTGGAAGCATCCATCTCCAAGATGGTTGGGAATGTAGCAGACCCTGTTTGCTTTCGGCTTGCAGGGTGGTGCATCCGACCCCGGGCGAGCGGTAAAGGACATGGTTGCTGGGGCCCCGCTCTTTTATTCATATAGGGTTCCATGTAGAGACATCAAGAACTTAACAATAACTATACAATCTGCAGTATGAGAAAGTATACTTGCTGGAAAGTTGTCCATATGGCAGCTTCCTTTCTTCATCCTACGAGATCGCATAGCGTCCCAGACTGCAGCATGGCCAGGGTATATTTGTAGGCAGCACCAGCAAGAAGTCACAGCACTACTTCTTGCATCCTGATCAGGCTTCGCCATCGGTATATCATGGTGAGCATCATCTTCTTCCCGTAGACGAAGCAAATGCAGTGCACATGTGATGCGTCTGTACACGTGAAGTTGCCGCTTCAACCAGATTCTTCGCGTGCTATGTGCCACGAGGCAGTCACGCTGGCTAGCCCATAGCTGTCAAAGCCGTCATCATCAGCGTCCATGCCTCCAGAGATCTAACGTGGACACGGCGAGGCTGAAGTCTGAAGTCGAGGTTGAGGTTGGAGTTGAGGTTGAAAGATCCGAAGTTTGCCTGGGCAAAAATCTCATCACGTGATTTCCCCTTTGGGCCCGGAAAAACACGAAACTTGAAGACGAAGAAAAAAGCGACTCCAACGACTTCACCATCGCCGACGCATCCAGCATCCGCCATTGACAGCTCCCGCGCACTCGAAGGGTCCCTCATTGCTTGTCCGGCTTCAATTTTGACGACTCTGCAGACTCTGCGCTCCTCTCCTTCCACCATGTCCGCCACAATGTCCCGTATGTTGATCCGGCAATCACGAACAGTGATCCGACGACCAGCGATTAGACACTCGTCCACTACACAGGAGACCGCCGCAAAGGCCAAAGATGCCGCCTCTTCAGCTACTTCCAAAGCGTCCGAGGGGCTTACAAAAGTGACCGCTGCTGCCGGTCCAGCTCTTGCTGGTGCCATGTCCGGTGTGGGTGGTGCTTTGAAGAAGGTTGGAGGACGAACTGCCAAACTCGTCGCTTTCGTCGAATGTAAGGAGAATATCCATCCAGCCGTCCAGCCGCCACTTGGAGCAACGATTGCAGTTTAGTACAGGAGATATGTTGCTTGCTGTGCTGTTTATCTTAGGAGAGGGCTGACATAGCTTGCGTTCGCAGCTTTAATACCACCAACCATCTACTACTCCAGAGTCGGCCTTGAGCTGTCGAAAATCGTCTTCCGGGGACAGAAGATGGCACCACCGTAAGTCGATTATCTGGCTTATTGCTATTAGAAGCATGAATTTAACAATCGGATAACAGAGACATGGCCACTTTCCAATCGTACCTTTACTCTGCCTTGAACTCCCTTCGCCAACCATCTACCATCTTCGCCAGCTTAAGAAATCCCAACGGCAGCATTTCCCGGCTCCGAAACTTCGATGCCAAACAATGGGCCATTGTTGGAATCACAACCGCAGAAGTCATTGGATTCTTCTCCGTCGGCGAGATGCTCGGTCGATTCAAGGTGGTCGGCTATAGAGGAGAGGTCGCCCACGAACACTAGTCTCTTTTATAACTCCAGACCGTTAAGACCTAGCCCTCTATAAACAAAAAAAGGGAGAAAAGAACAACCGGCATCAAATATCCAGCCACATTCTCTATCCGCGGGTTTTCTTGTATCTTGCTGTATGATAGACATAAATTAAACGTTTGTTGAACCATCCTGTCTTCAAGTTGTTAATCTTGCTTAGAATTAAATATTATTCCGCCTTCTCAGATGAATTATGCTATGATACCCTAATAATGCTTACTCCCTACCAGTCGATGGTGCAAATGACCTTTCCCTTAGTCTTGTTACTCTCGACCAGCTCGTGCGCTTTCTGAATATCCTCCCACTTGAACACAGAGTCGACAACATGCTTAAACAGTCCTGTCTTTAAGCCACGGAATACTTTCTCCTCGAACAATTCGCGCACTCTGGCTTGGTAATTGACATCCCTCGACCGCAACGTACTCCCTTCAAACTTCAGTCTTTTCATCAAGACTGGACGAATATCAACACCGTCTGGCAAGATGGACCCAGCTAACAAGCCTAACAAGACAATTCGGCCGTCTCTTGCTGCCACATTCAGATTCTGCTGGAAGTAAGTTGGTCCAACATAATCAATAATCAGGTCGACGCCTTGTCCGCCATTCATCTTCTTGATCTCTTCATCCCAGTCTTTATTGTGCGTATTGGTATTAACAGCACCCACACACGAGAGTTCCTGAACGCAAAAGTTGGATTTCTCATCACTGCGGGCTGTAGCAAACACCTTCGGTGCTGGAATATCTGAGCGTAATGAGTTTGCAAGTCTGGACAGCTGTATGCCCGCTATGGATACTGAAGACGCCCCAGCATGCCATAGAATTGACCGTGTGGTATCAGCGTTATAGCCTCCAACCACGTACAATGCCTGCAAAGCAGTGAACCAAATCTATATATACCGTAAGTCTTAGACTCTAAATATTGCACCGTAGAAGAGAAACAAAGGTCCTACCTCGCACAGGCCAGCAGCATACTCCCAGCTCCAGTCTGCAGGCTTAGCTATCAACAGCTTCATCTCCACTTCAACATACTCTGCATAAGCCCCTCCATACACCAACCCAAACACCTCATCTCCAACCTTCCATTGTGTCCCGGTTGATGCTTGGTCGCTACCAACAGCTTCGATAACTCCGCTGAACTCCAGGCCCAGGATCTTGGACGCTCCTGGGGGTGGCGGATAGAAACCACTTCGCTGTATGGTATCGGCACGGTTGATGCCAAACGCCTTCACCCGGACAAGGCACTGCGTTGGTGAGGGAATTGGCTTGGGAACAGAGTCGTTGATGAAGAGATCGGCCGCAGCTCCAGCGCCGTTCTTGATGTCTACTTTTAACTGCGCGTTAGATACCCGCTTGGAGGTCAACGTCATGGAGCAGCGTCCACTTACCAACCGCCTTCATGTTTACTCGTAGGTACTACGAACCTGAACAGACGCAATGAGCCAACCGAGGAAATTGTCAATGAATTTATCGCAGCAGTCTATGGGGTTACCAGCAGATAGAGCAAAGAGCAGCTTCATCACGCGAGTTCACATGTGGTTATTCTGGTTATGTAGGAGAAGTTGGATCTCTCTCCACATTATTATTAACTAATCAGTTGGGCGTCAACGCCTAGTTACGTCCAGGTCTCCATCGACGAGATGACGAAGGCCAACTCTTAAATAATACAAGAAGATAAGCAAAGGTTACCGGGCAGGACAACGGGAAACCTGCACAAGCGAGCGCTGCTCTGGGCGCTGTAGCCGCCAACACGTAAACTACATCTCTGCAGAATTCGCGATGGGGTAAATGGAGCGGGGTGGACGGGCTCGTACCTTGTCCATCGTAGGCACATACAACATCCAAAGACATCCAGAGAATTAACAAGGACGCAAGAAGACAGCGACGAGAACCAATTCGCTATGACTGAGGAATACAGCACCTATGAACTGGGCGACTGGTCGCTGCAGAGCGGCCAGGTTATCCCCAAGGCCCGTATCGCTTACAGGACGTTTGGTGACCCGAAGTTGCCCGCTATTGTGTACCCGTCATGGTTCTCTGGCTGTGAGTGCTCTCCATTTAAGCAGAGATGAAATAGAGAAGAAGAAGAAGATGCTGATGGGAGCGAGTGTAGCGATATCTGCCAACTTCTGGCTGGTAGGAGAAGACAAGGAGCTGAGTCCAAAGAAGTACTTCATTATCATACCGGCGATGTTCGGTAATGGACAGTCTTCTTCCCCCTCTAATACCGATCTCTCTCCTTTCCCAGCAGTGGCCGTCTACGATAACGTCAGAGCTCAGTATAAGCTAGTGACAGAGCATCTTGGGGTCAAGCATCTTAGAGCTGTCCTCGGGTGGTCCATGGGAGCAGGCCAGACCTTCCAATGGGCGGCTCAGTACCCCGACTTCATGGACATCATTGTCCCATTCTGCGGATCTGCGAAGACCTCTTTGCATAACCAGGTGTTTCTCGAGGGTGTCAAATGTGCCCTGCTGTCAGCCAAGCGTTTCCGTTCTGCCGGGTCTGGGAAGGATGGCATCTGCTCCGAAGGTATTGTTGGCCGAAAGTGGGCAGAGGAAGAGAGGGATATCGGACTGAGAGCTGTTGGAAGAGTGTATGCTGGGTGGTAGGTTTTCTCCCGACTTGAACTTCAAATGATCATAGTCATCTTTAACCCATTGCACTCAATCAGGGGCATGAGCCAGCCATTCTATCGTGAAAAGCTGTACGAGACTGTTCTTGGGTATAAAGACCTCGAGGATTTCTTGGTCAATTTCTGGGAGAAGTATTTCCTTTCCAAAGGTAGGCAATGTAGGGTCTGACTGTATCCATGCAACAGGCTAACGCTTCGTATCTAGACCCGGAGAACCTGCTTATAATGCTGCAGACATGGCAGAATGCAGATATCTCGCAGCAAGAGCCGTACAATGGCAACTTTGAGGCAGCGCTCAAGGGAATCAAGGCAAAAGCGCTGGTCTTGCCTTGCAAGCATGACTTGTACTTCCCGTGCGTTCATCAACATGTCATCATATCATATACCTACCCTGCCACGTGCTAACCAAGGGATCGAATAGGCCGGAAGACTCGGAATATGAGGTTGCAAACATGGCACCCGGCGTGGGTGAGCTGGACGTATTCCCATCCATCTGGGGACGTAAGTATAAAATCCATCTCTAAATATCGGCCTCAATCACAGCTAACGTGGGGGTTCTGGCTTAGACTGGGCAGGTGGCCCCGGTGAGAACAAGGAGGACGTCAAATGGCTGAACGACAAGCTGGTCGATTTCTTTAAACGGACCCCTATTAGCGACTCCCTGACGGCTGCCCTCAAGGATCTGAAAGTCTAGTTAGCTGGCCGTCACGGGCTGAAATAGCCGGCTTCTCTGTATCACAACTTGTAACCTGGTCTGTGTGGTACTGAGCCGCCCAACCTATTTCAGCTGTTCGGTAACACCATCAGCCCTTGACAACGGCAGCTCCCCTATCCCCTACGTGTGCCTGTTTCCCCCTTTTTTTTTCCCGCCGATAGCTAGCCGTAATAATGTTTCATTATTACTCTGTCCTTCCCCAAAGGCTTGGTGGAAGACAGAACTAAATTTAAAACTATCACGTGATTTAGCCGCCCCAAAACCATCATCATTTCTTTCTTGCCAGCCAGAACAAAAAAAAAAAAAAACCTCCCATCATCAAAGGTTCTTTTCGACTGACTGACACCAAGCTGGTCAGGGTTATCTTCTCTTCTACGCGGTCCGGGTATTCTGGGGGCGTCTGTATTATTCTTCTTTTAATATCTTTTCTTCTGTGGGGTTTCTTCTTCGCTTCTCCATTCTCTACTTAGTAGCAGGCCGCGGCGAGCCACTTCGCCATATCTAGCCGCGACAGACAGGCTCCCACGAATCTCAACATCTCATCGGAGACACGAACCGCTTGTTGCTAGTATTGAACACTTCTACGGCCTCAAGCAGTTGCAGCTATGGCTGCTTCCCAGTCTCGTCAGTGGGGGATCACTCCTCCACTGTCATCCGCGCTTCCTACACCCTCCGAGCTCGCGGAGAACGATGCGTTGATAGCAGAGCTCAAGCTACAGAATAACTTCGAGCCACCATCAGAGACAGAGAAACGGTTCGTCTGGCTGATTAAAATGTTACTTACTTGTCTAGGAAATACTAACTCTTCCGGGTTGGTCTTTAGAAAGCAGACACTACATCTCCTACAGCGAGTCACTATCGAGTTTATTAAGGTGGTATCAAAAGAAAAGGGCCTCTCACAAGCGGCAATCGATGCCTCTGGTGGTAAAATATTCACATACGGGAGTTATAGGCTTGGGGTGTATGGTCCAGGTTGGTGTTCGCGAGCATTCTTGAAACTATCTTGACAACGGAGCGTGGAACATCATACTAATTCAATTGTTTTTGGATAAATAATAGGTTCTGATATTGACACTCTTGTTGTTGCACCGAAACATGTAATGAGAGAAGATTTCTTCGCACACTTTCCAGCAATTCTTGAGAAACATGCGCCAAAAGATGCGATAGAGAAAATGACCCCCGTGCCAGACGCGTTCGTACCTATCATCAAAATCGAGATTTTTGGCATTAGCATAGATTTGATTTTCGCACGACTTATCGTTTCTTCAGTTCCACCGAACCTCGATTTGAAAAACAAAGACTTGTTGCGCGGTCTTGATGAGAGGGAGATACGATGTGTCAACGGTACACGAGTGACGGATGAGATCTTAGAACTCGTCCCTCAACAGAAGACTTTCCGACTTGCACTTCGTGCTATAAAGCTTTGGGCACAACGTGAGTCTAGTGATGGATCCTGCTTGATTGTAGCCGACTAACGCTGAGCATAATTAGGCCGAGCTATATATTCGAACATCGTTGGCTTTCCCGGTGGTGTTGCTTGGGCTATGTTGGTCGCAAGGGTGTGTCAGCTATATCCCCAAGCTACCGGATCAGTCATTGTCGGCAAGTTTTTCAGAATCATGAATCAATGGAGTTGGCCGCAACCAGTGTTGTTGAAGCATATCGAAGATGGCCCACTTCATATGAAAGTGTGGAATCCGAAGGTTGGCTCACAACTGTGTTTTTTTTTCATTCCAAGGGCTCTTGCTGATTTCAGTTTCCAGATATACCATGGAGATAGGTTCCACCTCATGCCTATAATTACTCCAGCGTATCCATCCATGTGTGCTACACACAACGTTTCAATGTCCACCAAGGCCGTCATACTCAGAGAGCTTAGACGCGGAGGAGACATGGTTGACAAAATCTTTGTCGGACAGCGTCGATGGAGTGATCTTTTTGCTCGACACAGCTTTTTCTCTGCTGACTACAAGTACTATCTCAGCATCAACTCCACTAGCACAAGCAAGGAAGCACAGGCTATTTGGTCTGGCTTAGTTGAATCAAAACTCAGACATCTTGTTGGGGCACTTGATCGCAAATCGTCTATAGAGATCGCCCATCCGTTCCCCAAGGGGTTCGAGAGGGTCCACATCTGTAAGACTGACGAAGAAGTCGATGCAGTGAAAGCCGGCTCTATGAAATACCAAGCAGATGACACCAAGACTGCTACTACCGACGAGACGAATGATCCAACTCACATTGCAGCTGCTGAGAATGCAAATGAGAACGTGGGGATTGCAGAAGCGGAAAAGCCAACTGGAGAGAATAAGTACACCCTTTACACCACAACTTACTATATCGGGCTGGAGCTTAAGCCATTAGCACCGGGTAAGTAAACCGCATCCATTCATGTGATACCACTGACTCCTCGAAGGCGCTTCAAGATCACTAGATATATCTAGCGATACCCATATGTTCAAGAATACATGCACTTCCTGGGCTCAGTATCAGCCTGGAGTTAATGACTTGAATATCTCGCATGTTCGCAAGTATGTTGTGACCCCGATTGACTTGAATTAATGCCAGAGGACTAATGCTGTAACAGCTACGATCTCCCCGATGACGTTTTCCAACCTGGTGAAGTTCGCCCAACGCGGCCGAAGAAGAAGGTTGTCAAGAAAGTGGAACAAACGGTTTCTCAGAAGCGAAATATCGATGCAGTAGACGTAAGTTGAAACCTCATAATTGCATCACTAACAAACAGTGTTTACGGGACAGCCCTATGGGAAGCAAGGATAAATAAATACGGGGGAGGAAATGCCGCCGATCGAAATGCAACCGGGGAACTAACTAGCTGCTTTTTTTTACTTCCAGGGCCAAGAAATATCCGAATCAGCGTCGAAGCGCCACGTCTCGCAGAACGGGATGGTGACTCAAGCTACAATAGCTTAGATATTGCAACTACGAACTTAGGAGATGTCCCGCTCAAATAAGGCGACCCGTCCACTCAAGGCCGCAGCTGGCCTCATCCCTTTCGCAGCCTTGCCTCCACCTTTTTTTTTGCTGCTAAACCGGCTTGCCAACACAAGAAAACAAGAAAAAGGAAAAAAACAAGTTCTAATCATCAAAACCTCCTATCCATAACCAACTGGCTGATCTAACAAAAGGCAGGGGAATGACGAGTGCGAAACCTCTTGGTAAAGACCAAATTATAGGTGCGCCTTTTCTACCACGAACCACCCAACCCACCGGCGTCCGGGGTGGTATTTACGCTCTTTAGAAGTGTTCTAGGATTTTCATTTGTGAGGAGAACAACTACTCGCTTTTGTCGTGCGACATGTCGACATGGCCACTACGGCTTTCGTTTACAGAGGAGGTTTCTTAACATTGTTCTAGGTACAGTTCTGTGTGCCTGTAAAGCATACTTGAAAAAGCCATGGACTAGCCAGATGGCTTGGCCGTAGTATTTCATAGCTCTGATAGACAATCAATAACAATTAATATGGGGTCGTGGGCCCTTTTGTACTTGTTGTTTGCCCTCTTTTTAAAGCTGCCTACCTTGGTCTCTCTAGTACAGGGATGTTTCACGTCCCTACATTAGTGTTGTTGATAGGGCAAACCTTGGATTCCCCAGACCTTGGAACGTCATATTTAACGTCATCGGGCGGCAGCGCGCTTCCTTGGCCGGATCCTTGAAATAAGCTTCAGTAGACGTTGCTCGGGAAATATATCAATTTATCAGGTCTATATACATACGTCTTTCATGAGGGCGGGCGAAAATTCTGTCTTCTACTCCTACGTCAAACAGCTGAATTCATACAGCAAAATGACAGAAAGCAAAACACAGGGGGGCAGGAAGCCTCAGTTGCTTGTGGTGTCAAACCGCCTTCCCTTATCCCTGAAACGAACAGATGATGGAAAATATGAATCCTCGAAATCCAGCGGTGGACTGGTCACAAGTCTCAGCGGCATATCGGAATCGATTGGGTTCCAATGGTTTGGCTGGACCGGATTGGAAATATCCGAAGATGAGCAGCAGGAGGTTCAAAAATTGTTGGCTAAGCAGGACGCTGTTCCCATCTTCCTAAACAAGGAGCTGGCTGACAATCATTACAATGGGTTTTCAAGTGAGTGTCCTGTTGCTGATGTTATATATGTTGCTGTGGCCCCAACATCACCTGCCATTGTTGCCGGTACTGATGACCATTCCAACTTAGATTCGATACTGTGGCCGGTCCTGCATTATCAACCCGGAACTCAGCATTTTGACGAAAAGTGGTGGCATGCATATCAAGAGGTTAACCAGGTATTCGCGAAAGTGGTTGCGGAAGCCACCTCTGATGGAGATTTGGTGTGGGTGCATGATTATCATCTGATGCTTCTGCCCGGCATTTTGCGAAAAGAATTTGCCAAACAGGGCAAACATTCAGTAAAAATTGGTTTCTCCCTGCATACCCCATTCCCCGCTGCAGAAGTGTACCGGGCTCTTCCGACAAATCAGGAACTGCTCGAAGGGGTTTTGAACAGTGACTTGATAGGGTTTCATACCAATGATTACGCGGGACACTTTGCAGAAGCTTGTTCTCAGATATTGTATGTCCCCGCCATCGACCGTTAATACATCTTGCTGACGCTTGGATATTGTAGAGGTGCGTCTAAAGACGGGCTGACACTGCGTTATAAGGATCGAACCATCCAGGTTGGAAAGTTTATTGTCGGTATCGATCCAACACGCTTCTTGGAGGCAGTGGAGTCAGAAGCCGTCAAGAAACGAATCGCCGAGCTTGAAGATAAGTACAAGGGTATAAAACGGATTGTCGGCGTCGACAGACTGGATTACATTAAAGGACTACCAGAGAAGCTGCGCGGTTTCCAGGAGTTCCTTCGAACACACCCCGAATGGGTTGGGAAGATTGTCTTGATCCAGATTGCTGTACCGAGCCGTGAAGATGTCCAGGAGTACCAAGAACTAGAGGCTGAGCTATACAGGCTGGTGGGCATGGTCAATGGCGAATTTGGTATGGATTCCCATCAATGTGCTGTTGAGGAGTCTTCCCAGGTTTAACCAAAACTAACGGTGATCGAATAGGTAAACCTGATTATGCACCAGTCATCTTTATTCACCAGTCAATTCCTTTTGAAGAGTTGGCTGCCCTATATGCAGCATCCGACATATGTCTGCTCTCATCCACAAGAGATGGCATGAACCTTGTGGCCCTCGAGTACATTGCCTGCCAGAAAGAAAGAAATGGTGTACTAGCTGTCTCCGAGTTTGCTGGCGTATCCTCATATTTGGAAGGGGGAGTCAAATTCAACCCGTTCAACTCCAGCGAGATTGCCAGGGTGATCCACGATGCGGTAGAAATGGACACAGAGCAGAGAAAAAAGGAGCACGCGCGGCTCCTTGACTTCATAAAGACTCATACCAGGTAAGTTATATTGACAAGTTCTTTCCCAGCCGTTCAGGGGTATATTCTTCTAACAGGGTATTGTCACTAGCACCCATTGGGGCCAGGGATTCGTTGAAAAACTTTCGGCTGCTTAGGTTCATAGTAAGCGTAGCTAAATTGCGTGTGATACAGTCTGCGTGCTATGTAACAGCGACAACTGTAATTATTCCGGCATTCTCTGAAATAAATATCTTTACTCATGCATGAAATTCGAATAAAATGGAAAAAATAAAGCAAAAAGGGGTGAAAAGTATAATCTTCACGTGATATTATCTTATTAGTCATAATACGCTAGCTTCTTTAGTTGTTTAGCTTGGCATTCAATGAACCTCGGCATTTCGTCGGCACATCGAGAAGCCTCGACCTTGGAAGCGCAGGCGACGGCGAGCCATTTGGCCGCGTTTCAAGATGTGATAAGAAGCAGATATATGGTCGGCGCCGTTAATACTTCTCCTACCTATGAGATTACGCTTGTTCACTGCTAACTCACGTCCAGGCCTGTATATAGCACCAAGAACCAATTACCCTTGTTATTGAACAGCCGAGTCCCCTTGATATATGTTACATCGAGCAACATGGCTGCCGAAGCACAAGTGAAACTAAAGGATTTTGGAAACATCTTCTCTCTTGAAGGGAAAGTCGCCGTTGTTACTGGTGGTTCAAGAGGCCTAGGCCTGCATGCAGCTAGCGGGTAAGCTTATAGTGATGGGAGAATACCGCTGCTTCTGCCTCCTTGCTAACGTGATGCTTAACGCTAGCCTTCTACAAGCCGGTTGTTCAAAGGTGTACATTACTTCCAGAAAAGCGAAAGCCTGTGACGAAGCTGTTGCTGCCCTCAATGCGCTGCCTAACAAACGACCTGGTGCTCGGGCATACTCTGTGCCAGCAGATAGCTCCAAAATGTCCGAAATTGAGCGCCTAGTGGCAGAGGTCAGCAAGACAACAGACCATGTTGATATCCTCTTTGCCAATGCCGGAGCTACCTGGGGTGAGAAGTTCGATACACACCCTGAACACGCCTTCCAGAAGGTGATGGATCTGAATGTTAAGAGTGTCTTTTACACTGTGCAAAAGTGCGTCTACATTGCCCAAGGGAAAAGGAGACGGACAAAAAAAAAGGAAAAAAGGAAAAAACTAACATCCTGACAACAGATTTGCGCCACTGCTGGAAAAGTCGGCATCTATCGAATCGACTTCCCGTGTGATAATCACTGCCTCCGTTGCTGGGATTGGCGTAGGCACCATGGGCGACAATGCCACTTTTAGCTATTCTACATCTAAAGCCGCTGCCATACACCTGGCAAAGAACCTTGCCGTCGCTCTTGGACCAAGGCATATACTTACTAACGCTATTGCACCCGGCTTTTACCCGTCTAAGATGGCAAATGGTCTCATAGAAATGCAGGGAGGTGCCAAGGCAATGGCTGCACAAACACCAAATGGCAAGTTGGGAGAACCCGAGGATATCGCCGCGCTTGTTGTATTCTTGGCTGGTAGAGGAGCGAGCCATATCAACGGTGCAGTTATTACCACAGATGGAGGATCCGTACTCAAAGGGAAGATATAAATACTCTTTAGATATTTCCCAAGTTCAATAATATATATAAACCAAGCGTCAAGTACTAATCGTTTAGACAACGACGTATTCATAAAATGGCTCAAAATGGCTCTACAAAAACAACTGCCTCCTAGTTATAGTTGTGACGAAACACGCTTTCCGTCCTTTAAAGCTTTATCAATAATACTCATTGCGTAGTAGAGTTCATAATCATGTAGTCTCGGAGTAAGGACTTGGATTGATAAGGGTGAATTGAGGTAGACTCGGCGATCAACGGTGGATGAATTCCCTAAGCACGGGTTAGAAAAAATTATTAACCTGCAAGAAAAAGGAGCACGTACATAGTTCCCTATTTCTCTTATCCCAGCTAGACAGGACTTTAGAATCCATCTCTCTACCAGCCTCCAGGTCTCGTTCAGTAAAGCTGCGAACAGGAAGATTACCAGCAGGATAATCGACTAGGACGAAAGATGAAGTATATCCAACCGCATTATATCGGTCAATCTCTGGCACAGGGTGGGGGGCGACGGGGTGGATTATAGCATCGACACGCCGAGTCTTGTCAGTTCCAGGGACAGTCCACATCTTCATGAGTTGCCTTTCAATATGGGAGCGTTTTGCTTGAATCTTTGCAAGTTCATCAATAGTTTTGGGTGTTCCTCGTTTAACTCGGCCCTTTAACCATGGGATGAGTTCTTCTGAGGTGCTCTCCAGCAGGTTCATCATATGCTGACCCCCATCAGCACCCATTAAAGCGTTTGCTACAGCCTGGCATTCCCCTAGTTCAGGCGGGACGGGTATATCGACAACCTCTACTCCGTTAGTGTTTCGAAGAGTTTGAGCAACCTCTTCTAAAACCTTCGCAATAGGAGGCAGAGGGGGAATTCGGCCATCGGATCGTAGTATTCCAACAGTAAACTTAGATGACTTTCCCGGGCTTCGCGGTGCCCACTGGCCCGGAATACAGTCTTCGCCCCAAAGTGCTGACCGAGGGACTATTTCTTTCATCACAGCATCAATATCATCCATAGACTTTGCAAGAGGTCCCGCAACAGCCTGGATACTTGTTCTGCTACGCCCCGGGAAAGCACAAGACTCCTGCCCGCCATACGGAACACGGCCAACACTGGGTTTAAAACCATAGAGCCCCTCGCACATAGCCGGGACACGGATGCTGCCACCAACGTCAGTTCCAATGCCAACCATAGAGCCTCGCATTAGGACCATAACTGCCTCTCCACCGGAGCTGCCTCCAGCGGTCAGCTTCCGATTTAATGGATTCAGGGTTCGGCCAAAGAGATTGTTGACACTATCCAGGGCGCCCAGAGTCTGTGGAACATTCGTCTTCCCCACAATGACTGCTCCAAGGGAGTAAAGTAGGTCCACCAAAGGAGCGTTCTGCTTTGCTGGTTTGAATGCAAGGGACGCTATTCCAGTAGTAGAATCGACTCCTTCGATATCAAACGTGTCTTTGACGGATATTGGTAAGCCATGTAGAGGACCATATGTTGTTCCTGTACGTTTGAAATGGTCATCTAGTTTCTCTGCACGTTTCATAGCGTCATCAAATAGCGGCTCCGTAAGGCAGCGAGTAAGCTGGTGGGCAATAGCAGCACGCTATTGTCACGTTAGTTTCCATTCGATATATATATAAAGGGTTCATGTTCATACTTTACAAAACGCTTGACAGACATCCTTACAGGATAGCTTCCCGTTGGCCATCTCTGCAAGCAGTCCCTTGACATCCCATGCCTCCGTGATCTCGAGTTCTCTCGCCGTGAGCAGGCCACACCGCCTTGGAATGTCAGTGACATCCGACTGATCATAAGAACGAGTGTTTGTGATCGATTCTTCGGCTGAAAGAGTGCCAGCGGGTATCCATTGGGCAGAGAGACGCCAGCTTTGCGGTATCTTTGACTCCAGCTGTGCCTTCTTCCGGCGGGCAATCTCCTTGTACGCGGGCTCGGACATAATTGCGATACAGAGCTAGAATATATATCTTCTGTTGGACTCCTATTATTGTTTTCTTCCGCTTTAAGGGCCTGTATAGATTGTTATTGGGCTATGAACTTTGGATGTGCAGTTCCTTGATAGAGATGTGGGTGAACTGGTGAATAAGCTTTAAGGTGTTACCGAGAAGCGCCGAGGCACCGATTTCTCCTGAGGTTCTACAACGACTTCCATTCACTTAGTTAAATTGGCTAAATTATTTTTTTTATTAAAGCGCGGGGCCAAAATTTCAATTAAACATCCAGGCCCTCCTCCCCTCTCATACTCTCCAAATAGTCCAAGACGTCCGGATGGCCACGACGGCAGCACCATTGATAGTTGGTAATTCCTGGCGTTCATGGATCTACCGGAATATATTCTATATTCACTATTCTCATGAAAAAAAAAGGCTTTTAGACGACAGAATCATAGTCTGCCACCCTTCCATGACACAAGGCCGAATGGCAGGGCTGGGGGCTGAAGTGCATGGTAAAAAAATTCATCCGCAGGCCAAAGGCTCCGATGGACATCTGGAGGGAGGTTGTCGGTTATTAGAATTGGTAACTAGTTATTTTGATTCGCATTCCTTTCTGAAGAAGTTCATGTGGCTCTAAGTATTAACGGAATAACTCCCGTTTCTGTACTCCGTACTCATTCCACTGGCTAGAGAAATCTGGTGAGAGCTTCGTCAACGGCAACTTCGTACATTTATGCTGCCGGTGACCAAAGTGGAGACGTAAACGTCATTAGCGAACACGAATTAAGGGTAAACTTGTTGTGTTGGGATCTCAAACATTATTCGCACAGACCCAGGCTCATCCCGCTGGCTATCCCGCGGTGAGTCACGTGCCACAACCGTGTGCCTCTCACATCTTTCATCCTCTACTCCGTACTCCGTATGCATAACAGGTATTCGAGTAATAATAACAACTAATATACGGAGTACTACGGAGTATATCTGCTTCCCTTCCCCCCTCCTGTGCTATATAAATAAAACCGACTGGCTAGTTGAATGCTCCATCAAAAGAAAGACTTTCCTTACGTAATTTTGGACGTCTTATCAGAGTTTACAAGGTTAAGCTTATCTCTTATCAATCAAATCATGTGCAAAGCCAAGATCAGCGCTAGGCCGGATTCGGCGGTCCCAGATACAGTAGTCAGCTTCGAAATCCCTGTCGTTTTCTTGTTGTGCAAAGCGAAAAAAAAAGGACCTGCATAGCCACAGCTTGGACAGCTCCATCGGGGCTTTATAAAGGATCTCGTTTTTCTTTTCTTTGACTGCTGCGTTTCCCCAACGGATGATCCGGATACTTACAGTCTCCCTTGCGTTTTCCTCACCGCATGCAGAATACGTATCCCCACCCTCCGTACACCACCGTTTGAGGGACAGACAAACGAGCGCAGCACACGAATCCTGACTCGCGGACAAGGGAAACGGCTGGACCTGTCACGTCGCTCGAGATAGCCAGCACTCGCGTCCATTTTAATCACGCCCAATCTAGCTTGCACAACAATAAAAAAAGCAAACAAACCATGGCGGACGGCACTCGGTCTCCTCCTCATCCATTAACTCCGAGCCTCTATGCCCTCCATGGCCGGTACGAGACTTATCAACATCATCTCCCCAGAACACCTCCTTCAGGCATGAGCACAGGCGTCGAGGCCATCGAGATAGCTGAGCAACCACTGCCAGCGCCGCATATCCCATATGCAATGGAAGGGTCTGACGAGGAAGGTCAACGCCCTCCTCGCTACACCCGTGAGAATGACCCCTTCCAGCTCTCAACCAAGATAAAGTCGAACGCAGAGATCGACCAGATCCAAGCAAACACCACTAGGCGACGGAAGTGTCTTTCAAGTGAGCAGAAAGGGCGAACCAACGCTGACAGAAGGAGGATACAATCATTCTATCGATCACAAAATGACAAGATTGAGCGTCTTTTGAAACCGGTTGACGAGCATATCAGACATGCGAAGGAGTTGAATGAGCAGAACCAACTCAAGTACAAGATCGCTGTCTACGGTAGCTTTGCCGCCAACGTGATCCTCTCCATTCTGCAGGTTTATGCTGCCATATCCTCAGGATCCCTGTCCCTGTTTACCACGATGGCAGACGCCATATTCGACCCCTTGTCGAACCTGACTTTACTTCTCTGTCACAAGGCCGTCAAACGAGTTGACGCCCGCCAATTCCCGGCTGGAAAAGCCCGAATCGAAACGGCGGGGAATATCTTCTTCTGTTTCCTCATGACTGCGGTCTCCTTTATCCTTATTGCCTTCTCGATCAAGGATCTTGTTGGTGGCAGCATTTCCGATACAAATCAGTTTCACCTTACGGCCACCATATCTGTGTGTATCGCTTTTGCTACAAAATTGACTCTCTTCTTTTACTGCTGGGCAATCCGCAACCAGTATTCCCAGGTTAGAATCCTCTGGGAAGACCACAGGAATGATCTCTTCATCAACGGATTGGGTATTTTGACTTCTGTGGGCGGAAGTAAGCTTCGGTGGTGGATTGATCCTGCCGGTGCTCTTTTGCTGTCCGTTCTTATTTCAGGCTTGTGGACCAAGACAGCCTACTCCGAGTTTCAGCTTCTAATCGGAGTCACGGCTGATACTGAGATGCAACAACTCATCACTTATATCTGTAAGTGCCATTAACCACCAGCATTATTGCACATGTTCAAGGGCTAACTATACTATAGCCATGACTCATTCTCCTCTGATAACCGCTATCGACACCGTACGTGCATACACTTCCGGGCCTCGCTTACTTGTAGAAGTCGACATTGTCATGGACAGAAACGAGTCTTTGGAGGCCACACATGATGTGGCGGAGGAACTTCAGACAAAGTTGGAGAGCCTTCCGGATGTTGAACGAGCTTACGTCCACGTTGACTATGAGACTACACATAAACCGGAACATTTCTTGAAAAAGGAGCTATAATCTTCCTGGTTATTGGCTGAGAGCGATATGTCTTGCTATGTCGTCATGTTTGTCTTGGTGTTAGGGGAACGGTAATGTTTGGATAGATAGGAAACTCTCCCGGTGACGGCGTTCAGGTTTTCTTCTTCTACGATGATATGGGTTGACCAATTGCTAGGAAAGCTTCAGTCTTAAAACATGATGGTAAAAGTAACTAGGCTATCGCATACTTATTCTATTCATTTCCACTTAAAGATGCATGGCTATCAAAGATATGCTTGAAGAAATCTTCCAACAGCTAAGTATTCATATGTCATTAGTGTCGTATGACTATATATATATATGCTTTGTGCCTTTATGCATCACATTATATCTCACATCTTACAAGGTCAAGATTCCTGTCTTCCTTGCCCATATCCAAAGAGCAAATCCCACAGTCCCCACTGCCAAAGCCCAGCGGCCAAGTATACCACCGACAGCCATGAGATGTCCCCGAAGCATTATTTCACGTTTTTTCATAAGTTCAGCCTCTTCGTTGGCCCACGGAAATTCTACATTCGGCACTGGCTTTCCAAGAAATTCGCATAGTGGCTCCCAGCCCTGGCCCATCCGGTAATGAAGAAGTTGTCCCGGCGGTACAAGCTCCTCAATCTCCCTGTAGTACCTGTCGTAAACAACACGCACATTCTTCCGAATACCTTCGACGTCTCTCGCTTGAAAGAAGCCAAGCAAGGCCTTTCTCATTGCCGAAACACCCGAGTTACCCAAGATCGGCTGTATGACCGCACAGAAGACAGCGGCCATCGGGCTCCAGAGTCCTTGCAACACTACTCTATCCAGACTAGTGTACCACCGATCAAAGTCCCTCTTAACCAAGATAACTTTGGCACCTGGGTACACCTTGATAAGTTGGGGTCCAAATAAAGCGGCAGCCTCAGTGACTGCTTCACGGCCACCATACACTTCATCCCATTGCTCTCGGCTGAAGGCCCGTCCGTGGTATGTTGGAAGGTCCGGAAAAGTTGCGTCAGCGGCGCGATTGAATACCCGCCATGCCGCTTCACCCCCATCGTTGTCCGTTAATGTATGGTGAACGTTCTGGTACCCTAGGATGGAAAGTGCATTCGCCATTGAAAGAGTGCCGGACCGCGGCAAGCCTAGTGCTAGGACTTTCATCTCGAGCCGCTGTGGCTTAAGGTCTGCGGATTGGTTCATGGTTTTCGTCGGATTCCGATCGTCGCTCCTTGTGTTCACAGCCAGCCAATAACTAGCTCAAAAGTCACGGTGGTGGAGGAGAAGCAGATTCAACGAAGGTGGTCACTCTCTGGCGCTGTAAGATATGAACCGGAGCCAGGACGATCCGTTGTTCTCCGAAAAGGTTTTCTACGACGGTCCTGGGGACGCCGGTTCCTTGGTGAGCCGGGGGCTATTCGCTAATTCGCGATGGCAGGGATTGATGCTTGCCAGGGTTGGCTTGGGGTCTTATATATAAATCGCCAGTCGCCATACGAAACACAGCCTCCCCCTCGAAACCGACCACCTACAGGGTGGTATGCGCCCCTTGATTGTAATCATTGTGGAAGGTCAAGGTTTAGCTTTCTTGGGGCCATATTCACAGATAGTTAGTTATGCGTTGTTCTGTCTTAAACAAGGAGATACCTTTAAGGCAAGCTTGGCCAGATTGTCGTTCGGTCGCACTTTTAGCGTGTGAGAGTTCTATTCTGGGGCCGTGTCCACCTGATGGCCATAGGTTAGGCCGTACTAATAGAGGCAGCCACATTAAAAACCCTAACGCCCACCGACCATGAAATGTTTTATTAATAAATACTCAATATGTTGGTGCTGAGCATCAAAAAGCGAGCAAGCCGTTGGTGTGCTTATAAAAAACAGGCCTAGCGGGATGCAGTCGATAAGAAGTTGGCCAATGGGAAGTTTACATTAACCTGTCTTTTTTTCAGCCAATTAGCATTTTCAATTTAAGCTTAAACACGGCCCACTTCCCGCCATCTCGAACTTTAAAACGGATAACAACAAACAAATTGCTTCCAAATTCGAT